CAATATCTCCCCCGTAACGAAATCACCTACCTCGTCATCTGCTCAAAATAAGGAGATTGGTATTCTTTGCAGGATACCCTGTGTCAGTCAGAAAGCACTGTTTTTGCACGCTTCATGGTAACTACGGGCCCGATTAAATCAGAGCAATTGTTGCCCGTCCTCCGAGCCTACCGCCTTGCCCTGCTGCTAATATAGATAACTAAGCTCAAAAAATTAGCTCCACCAATGTCTATTCCAGTCGGGATTGTGAACGGGAAACATATATGTTTCGAGGATCCCCAAAGCGAATGTGGTTGGCCTACCTGAACAGTCCTCTGAAAGCAATGGATAACATTTGTGGTTTACCCAGACTGGAGGTTACCCACTCCTAACCCGCCGCACGCAAGGTATCTTATGTACGTTGCCATTTTCTGTTAATGCTCAGATCCCCCAGTTCCTTCACAGCATCTCGGTGACCAGAGCAAGGAAATGTCTGGCGGGGGAGAGTTTGACAGCAGTTAAAATCTTGGTTGAATATGTCGAAGACGAAAAGGGGGAAATGCTATCAAGCAACTGGACAGACATCAAATCACGAATTGATTCCTACGGGCCCGTAAGCGGACATTCCTGAGCCTTTGCCTGATCTTCCCAAATATTGTATTCGTTGTTGTACCAAAATGGTGGGTTCCCACAACCTCCCAACTGGCATCTCTCGCATTCAAGGTCTGGAGACTATGCTGTGAACCCTCTTCATTCATGGTAAATGGTTCCAACGTCTACCATAAATCACCGAATGCAAATTGGGGACTCTATCTCCTGGTAGCCATGCCCAACGTTTGTTCATTATTCTTGCACGGGTTATCTTCCCCACGGATTCTTCTCTTCACGATGACATCTAAAACAAAGCAATATGTTATCAAGGAAGACTGACAGCTTACCTGCCTTGTCGATTTGAATTGGTCTACTTATTATTCGCCAAACTGCAGAAGCGCAGTCAGACTATTATTATCTATGCAATAGGACCTATTTTATCCCAAGCTACCCGACTCATCCTGTATGCATTCCATAAAACGGAGTCAAACTTCATATCAAAACCATAGAACGCAAGCAATGCCAATGATAAAAGAATGGAAGGGGGAGGGAAGAAGGGGGAGAGAGAATCGAAAATTAGAAATCAAACACCAACCCACCCCAGCCAGCGCAACCCGCCCAACCATGACATGTTATTTAACTACCAGCAGCAAAACGCAATATATATATATATATATATTATATATAAACAGAGAAAAGAGGAGAGAGACAGAAAAGACACGAAAATTGAAAAAGCGCGAAACCATTAAACAAGTAGCAGCGAATCAATTAATGAATCAATCAATCAATCTTCGCATACGCCAACTTCTTCGGTGTCGTAAGATTATTCGACAGGCGCATGTTTGCCGTCTTAAATTTGGTATGTTTCCTCAGTTTCTTACGTGCCACCATCACTGGCACGGAGGACTTGGCGACAAGATAATTAGAGAATGAGCCGAGGAGCACGCTGTAGGTCAGAATTATTAGCCTTTCTTATGTTCGTGCATATAGAGGGGGGTAGTATAAATCGGGGTTGAGGCATAAAACGAAAGGAAAAACACGGGAGATTTACCCTTTGAGCGCGCTCCGCCCTCTCGATCCCAAAATAACCAACGTAGGTTCCAACCCGTCAATCTAATACAGCGATATTCCAGTTAGCACACCATATAACACACCAAAAGCAGACCATACCAGGTAAAGCAAAATTAAAGTGAAAATAAACTCACCGCCTCAGTAATCAAATGCTTCGGACTCTTACAATGAATAACCTCCACAGCAACCCGAACCTGTAACCTCGTCTTCCTCAACAACCTCACAACAGTCTGCGATATCCCCTCGACAGCATGCAACCTCTCCATCTCCGCCTTCGACATAGCCCGTGAATCAGTTGAGCCACTTTTGCTATCTGTCCCAGCCCCACCACCACCACCACCTCCTCCTCCTCCTCCTCCTCCTCCACCACCACCTGCTGCTGCTCCACCAACGCTGCCGCTCCCACTCACATGAGTCGACGACGTGTTCGCTGACCCGGACAGAAGTCCAGAAACCCCACTCGCAGCAATAGAACCATTCTCCCCCGTCCTCTCCGTCTGCGACCCCACCACCATCATCACATCTAGCATAGCCTTAACCCCATCCGCAATTCCCACCCCATTTAACGAATCACTTTCTCCGCTTCCTCCTCCTTTCCCCTTCTCAGCCCCACCGGCTGCCCCTTCCTCGTCGATCGCATAGACAGCAAACAGCGTATCCCCATCCCTCAAAATGGTCCCAATAGTCCATTCCAATGCATAAACACTCTCCTCACTCAAATCTGTCGCAACAAGGTACGTGCGCAACCTAATCCGTCCATTGCTCCTTTGTTCCGCCTGCTCAACTTCCTCTTGGACGCGCGTGAACTCTCCACGAACGATGGTTCGGATGACACGATTGGGTACGGACTGGTCGATGGGAGACATGTAGATGCTTAGATTCTGTGCCTTTTTGAAGTCGTAGATTTGAGCCTCGTCATCTGAGGCGGCGGGAGTGTTGGGGATTGATCCTGTGTAGTCGAAGCTGGTGGCGGGGTGGACGCCGGATTTTTTTAAAGGAAGTTTTTCTGCTGCAGAGGGGATGGGGTCGAGGAGAGATTTTACTTTATATGTAGCTGAGACGGTTTTTCCTGTAAAGGGATATGTGTTAGCTTTTTTTTTTTTTTTTTTTTTTTTTTTTTTTTTTTTTTTTTCTTTCTTTTCTTTTTCTTTTTCTTTTAACATATAGCTAATTCACCGGGATTTCACCTTTAAAGATACAAAAAGAGTATATACGTACGTTCTTCCTCAGCGGCAGCAAGAAGACTGCGCACTTTCTGCTGTCCGCCACTCTCACCAACTCCATTCTCATCCGAAGCACCTTCAGAGTCTGATTTCTTACGACTACGCCTTCGCCCCCGTTGTATTTCAGAAGTCCAATCATCATCCCCCGAACTTGAATTTTCATTATCATCGCTGCTATCGTCGTCACTGATCCCGTCGTCGCCCGAATAGTAATCCTTTTCAAGTCGTGGATCCCCAGATTCCGATACCTCATCCTCCCCCCTCTCACAACTCGTAGCCGGTTTTTGGAATCTGGCCAAAGTTCCACCAGCCCTCGACAACGCTGCGTTCGACAGTCGTCGGTACGCATGATCCAGATTAATAACCTTTCCCGTGTCCGTAACATATTTCCCCGGAGTGGGTATTGGGTTGAAGGAATTGGTATTGAGAAGTAGGCCTGCACCTGGAGATCGTGAGCGACCACCTGGGGATTTCGAATGACGACCAGTCACGCCTATGCCTCCTCCGTGTCGGATTGTGTCCCGGCCCCTTGTGAAACCAGGCAGTCCACCCAAGTCCTGTCCAGACATGACAGCTACCATGGAACTGACATGGGGGGCATTGCTACTGTGATTCGAAGATTTCTTCCCGCCTTGTGTCACTCGTTTTGGCAAGGCTTGGCTGGGGATACTTGGCAACATTTCGAACTGATACCCGTCGAGGTCCTGTTTCTTCCTTACGGGTAACGAGCTAGAGGAGGTATCTGACAAACAACGATAAGCATCCTCGTATGTGGGTGATGTTTTTGGTGACAAGGGGGATCTTGGAGACTTGGCTGATCTGGTTGAAATGGGAGAGGTGGGGGATACGTCATGGTGAGGCGGGGAAGCTTCAGCACTCTGGGTTAACCGTAGAGGCGAGGGTGAAATGGGATCAAGCAAGCTACGCACTGGAGCTTGAACTGCTGGTCGATTGGAGGATGACGCTGTGATACCGACGCCAACGCCCGCAATGGAGTTATGCCTTGGTGCAGCATGGTCTGGGGCGATATCAAGCATACTCCGGATTGGCGGGGCTGTGATGGCATGGCTAGATCTGGCGGGCTCCTGGGGACGTGAGGGGCGACCATCGAGGATATTCAGGATCTCAAGCCGTTCTTCATCGAGCGCTGCCTCCAGCGACATTTGTTTCGGAGGCATTATGGAAAAAAGAGGATGAAATTAATTAAGGGAGAAGCTGTGTGGTGTGGTGTGGTGTTGGTGAGGTGCGATGAGAGCATATGTATATGATGAGGCACGAAGGGAACGTGGAGCAGAGGAAGGAAGTATTATTTAGTTGTCGAAGCCGATCCAAGTTTAGTCACCCCACGCTCAATTAACTTAGCAGGCTGGTCGAGACCAAACTCAGCCAGAGGAGAAACGCGATGCAAGTAGCTACCGTTATATTTTATTCAATAACTATGTTAACAGCTACAAGACCAAATTCAGCGCATGAGCAAGCAATCGAGAGAGGGGAAGAATGAAAAGGATGTTCACCTCGAGAAATAAAGTCACCTTCTTACTTACCAACACCGTGACACTGACTGCGGGAGTTTAACGACGTTAGGTCTATATAGCTTCCCCAGACAGAGGTGGGAATTTGAAGCTGTCTGGTAGGCCGTAGGCGGCTCGGAGTATTTAGGTGGGGAGCAGTTCTAAGCTGCGAGTTAACGTTGACTAGCTATTCTTATTATTAGTTAGCCCGTCTGTTAACTAGTTAATTAGTTATTAGGTAGGGAGTGGCGTTGCGTTTGACCCGTCGGTACGCAGTAAGCAGTAAGCAACTAAGGGCTGCCCTGTGATCAACAGACACAGCAAGTCAAACAACAACAGACACTGGCCTCGCTCTTCTTCTGCTCCATCAGCATTACGGAACACACCGAACAATACAGGAGGAGAGTGCTATATAGACAAGACAGTGGAGAGGCAGCTGGCAGGTAAGGGCTGGCACAGACACCCCCTTCGCATACAGAGGGGCAACTATCAGCAACTGAGATACAACCATTTGAGGGAAGGCATAGAAAACAAATTGGAAACAAGAGGGAAGAGATTGAGGGAGGAATTTGCAACAGGAATTTGGGAAGAGAAGAGCCACAGTAACTGTCATCAAACTCCACACATGCAACAGCAGCACCGCACAGAGAATGAACGAGAAGTGGCTGGAGCAGGACCAGCACTGCTGCGTGTTGCTGTGTGCTTAGCCTCTGGGTAGTTAACTATCACCAAGAAACCAGGACTCAGGAGCCAAGAACGGACAAGCCGGAGCCAAGCAGGACCATCCAAGCAACGTGGGCAGCAAGGCGGGACAAGGGGAGGGGTTTGCGAGGGGTAAGGGGCAGACAGATTCCGGCAGAGGAACGGGACAGTGCAGAGTGCAGAGTGAGAGCGGAGTGGCTTGAAGGATACCCCAGATGGTGGATATTATTAACTACATCTCTGCCTGTCGACACGCTGTGTGTGCACCCACTAGGTATATATATGTATCTACATCCGTCAGCAGTCGTGCCTGCGCTGGGGTCTACGCTGTCCGACAGCACCGCTGGGGAGGAGCCTCCGTCTGCATGTCGGCAATCTCGTTAACGCCATACGGAGGAGACAACCCTAATCCTTCGCAGGTTTTTTTTATTTTTTTTTTTTATTCTTTGCTGCTGTCGGATAGGACTGATCCAGCCAGCCGTCCAGTTGGCCCTGCTATGTTGTTGTGGACCTTAAGAGCTGAGTTTTATACTCTTCCGGTCCCGATCTCTATCTTTGTGTCCCCAGGATGTTCGAGAACACTCGAATCGAATCGGATTAGGTTCGATTGGCCTGTTGTCACTTGTAGCAAAGCATACGATTCCTTTCGATCATCCGATATCCTTGTCCCGCATCCCGCATACCTGTAAGCTGTAAATAACTGCCCTCGTACCAAGCATGCATCTAATAAATAAACCAACTACCCAGACATAGAAAGATGAGAAAAAGGAAGAGCAAATGATAAACCCAGACATAGAAAGATGAGAAAAAGGAAAACAAATGATAAAACACCTTTCCCATAACCATGCAACATTTAACCCATCCCCGTCCAGAAGCGCCTATCATATCGCAATTTAAAGCCACGAGGTTCAACAACATAACATGAACAGGAAATCAAAACCCAAATTCGGCCCCATCGCCAAAGCAGGAACAGACACCGAATCAGCGGTGTCCATGTCCATGTCCACACACCATCTAGCAAATGCACTATAAAAGAATCCGGAACCCAGAGCCACGACCCCTGCACATATAGTGTCCTACACATGCCTATTGCTTTCCCCCGGCCTAGCGGGACTTCTTTGACGCTTTGCGGTTGGCAGTAGCTAGAAAGGCCTCCTCAGGCGGCTTATCATCCCCATGCCTCCCTTTCCGTTTCTTCCCTTTACTCCCCGCCCCATTCCCACCCTTAGACCCAGCTGCAGGTGCATACCTCGCCTCCAAGTCATCCAGAAACGTCGCAGCTCGGCTTCTCTGCCGTTGCTGAATAAGGGCGGCCAGGCCATTCAGATCATCACCACCATCGTCACCTCCCTTGTTCTTCCCCCCTTTCCCTTTGCCTTTCCCCTTCCCAACCCCTAGCTCCCCTGCCACCTTTTCCGCCTCCTCTGCCTCCTTCCTCACCCTCGCAATCCGCGCAACCCTCCTCCGTTCCGTCTCAGCCGTATACTTAGGCCACCCCTCGACTTTCCCCTCAGCAATAGCCCCATCAATTATCTCCCGAAACCTCTTATCATCCTCCAGAACATTACTCAACATAACCTCCTCGTAAACTTTATCCAAGTCGCCCTTCCATCGCTCATAGGCTGCTAGAAGATCATCCCTTTCCTGCTCAGATCCCTGGTATTCACTTTTGATTTTATCGATAGCGGCGCCATCGATTACCGTGGCGAATTGCTGGCGGAAGAAATCTATCCAGTTGAAATCATCGTCGTCATCGTCGAGGCTGTGGAGGGTTTCAGCTGTGCTCCCTGTCGTGTCGTAGCGGCGTCTGCGCCGGGGGTCGGAGAGGATGGCGTAGGCGAAGGCGAGCTCTTGGAATTTTTTGTGCGCGGACTCTTTGGCCGTTGGGGGGGCTTTGTCTGTTTGTTTTCTGGGGGTTAACCTTAGGTGTTTTTTACGGGGCGGAGCACAGAAAATTGAAGTGGTTAGGTCAGTTGGGATTTTGCTATGCTTTGGGGAAGGCCTACCTGGATGATGCTTCAGGGCTTGTTTTCTGTAGGCTGATTTGATCTGATCTGCAGTAGCCGCCTCATCGACTCCTAGCACTTCATATGGGTTGATTGAGGATGGTGGCTCATCTGGCATGAGCTCATCCTCTCGTGATGGCATTGTTATCCTATTGGGCTCTCTGTCACGATTGGGCGAATGGAATTGGTAGAGTTCTTTCTTATCCTGGAGGTGCGACTCTGGCTCAAGCGGGAAAAATAAGAGTATGTATTTTGAGGTCTAGGGTGAATCTGGATTACAGCAGCTGGCAGAAATTTCTATACCAAAGAATTGTTTCTTGCTTATACATTTACCATGAGATGCAACTAGTATGAGAAGAAAAGTAACGCGACTTCGCGCCAGACCCGGAATATGGAATATCCTTTCTTCCGTTATTCCTAAAGCATGACGTCACGATAACCAGTTCCAATTAATCCAATTTTCAATCCCTAATAATTCCCTACAACTTCTTTTCTACGGCAGCCTCATTCAAGATCTGATCTATAAAAATAAAATAGAAGCCCTTCTAATCATGGCCACCACCAGCGTTCCCCCCTCTATCACCCCCATCCCCTCCCACCTCAACAACCAGCAAACGCACCTCTACTACCTCCGTGCATGCCTCTCCCTCTCCCAACAATCCCCCCCAAAACCCACAAACTTCCGCGTCGGCGCAATCCTCCTCTCCCGAATGCCCACCACAATCCCCACTAATCCTCCCAACCAACTGCAATCCCACACCCCACCAACCACATACACAGACACTATCCTCTCAACAGGCTACACCCTCGAGCTATCCGGAAACACCCACGCCGAGCAATGCGCATTAGCAAAATACGCCGCTCGCCATGGTGTTAGCGAGGAGCACGTGGGTGACGTTTTACCCCCTCCACCTACGTCCGCATCATCGCAATTCCAAACCACAGACCCCCCGCGCCCGCAGAGCATAATACTCTATGTCACCATGGAACCATGCGGCAAGCGGTTATCGGGGAATAATCCCTGCGCGGCACGGATTATCCAGACGCGGACGCCCTCGCGGCAGAATACAGGGCCTAGTGCGGGCGGCACTAGACGTGGTATTGACAAGGTGTACTTTGGCGTTAAGGAACCTGGGACGTTTGTGGGTGGTTCGGTTGGGTGTAGGATGTTGACGGAAGCCGGGGTGGAGTGGGAGGTTGTTGGGGGGTTGGAGAAGGAGATTTTGAAGGTGGCGATGGAGGGGCATGAGGAACGGAAGGGAAAGGGTGGTGGGGATGAGGTGCGAGGGACGAATATTGATGATATTTCCGAGGAGGAGAGGAGGAGGCAGGATGCTATGCCGCGGAATCCGTTGAAGAGGATGATGGAGGCGGATATTTAGGTAGAATTTTAATTGTATTGACTTTAGGTTAAAAAATTCGAGTGGGATTAATCATAACGGCATGCATGAAACAGTCTAATATTGGTTTTCATCCATGATAACTCTGGACTCTAGCCGTCCCGCCCTCTTCTTCTTTCCCGTGTTCATCATCGCAGAATCTCTATTCAAAATAAAACCCGCCACATAAACACCAGCATTATTAACAAACCTATTACCGCCATTTCTGTTAAGATCATGCACACCAACACCATATCCAGAGGTCGGGCCCGGCAGTACCGTTTTAATTTCATCTACCCGACCCAAGAGAAAAGTTTGTGTCGGGCGGAGCGACGGGAGTTCCTTTAGCCACGGTTCTTTAGGTACAGTTGTTGCTGATGTGGTTTCTGAAGATGCGTTCTGCGCTGCTGGCTGTAACTTATCACCGTCCGCATGATCAGTGTCAGCATCGGAATCAACATTAGATCGACGGCAAATCAGATCCTAGCCAGGATCTATGAAAAAACAGTGTATGTCGATGGGGCATGATTTGTCTGAAGCTGGATCTTGACATTTCGGAATGTACTTTGGCTGAGGTGGAAGAGACGTTGTGGGTGGGTATGAGATGTTTTGTTCTCTTGACAGTGATTGAGAGTTGTTTGCGTTTTCATTTGGGGATGTAGAGGAAATGGTAACGGCGGTGTGGAGGAAGAGAAGTAGCAACAGATGCAGATATTTCGCAGACAATGAGACTGGGGCCATTGCGAAAGACGGTGATAAAATATAAATGATCAACTGGAGAATCAGCTTTCCTTAGGTCCATGAGACTGAAACCAGGAAGGAAGTGAAGAACAAAAGAGCAGATCGGTCAAACAAGCAAATTCTACAATGACCAATCAGACAATCAAATGATTGGAGAAACGTTATATTCATGGCCAAAGTATGCCTCGGTATACGTGCATTTCCATTTCCAGTTGGGCTTGTACCTCTGTCATTGGAAGCCAGCAAACTCAACACCCAACATATGTATAGCACTCATGCAAATGTGCAAGAAGCCCACATGGAAGGAGCCAGCAACTTCCTCAGACATCAACGTTAGGTTCTTTGTTCGCCATCAGCGTTAGAAAAGGAGCAAACCAATGTTAGGGCCTGGTTTGAGAGTCCACGGTCGAATTAAGGAGTCTGGTACCACAACACAAGATTCTGACCAAAAACAATTCCCGTCAGGTAAAGTACCAGTGACGACTCCGCAGAGCCCAGATGAACTCCATGAAATGAAATGAAAGGAGACCTCAGAGTGGAAGAAAAGATCTGTGGTGTTTTATAAATAGCGTATATATGACTATTTGTGAAGCGGGACCAATCAGTCGCAAAGCAAGAAACAGAAGCATTGTTTCCCTGTATCACAGTGGATTTCCAGAACATCGTCATCCAATTATTGTTCGTTAATAGCTGATTATTTAGAATCACTATCACCCGGTCAGTCGCCGGGCATGATGAAGCAGTGTAGCAGTGTAGCAACTGTGGCTCAGCTCTGAAAGGAAAAGAGAGATTTCCAGTGCAAGCTACTCCTTAAGAAGTGCGCAGCTCCTCGGGAGGTTTGGCGCCAAGAGCGGTCACATGACCACGCGTTTTCCCTTCCAGTTAGTTCGTCGCCAATATTTGAAGCCTATTGTAAGTAAAGACATAAGACAACCATAGATGGGTCGGAAGATGGAAGCCTGACACCAATTAGTCCCTCCAAATGATCCTCCATCATACGAAAACGGAGCATAAAAAACAGAAGAATAATCTAAGGAACAAATAGACACTCTATCAAAACCCGCACCATGAACCCATGGCAGATCACCACAACCATGGGACCCCATCCCTCACCTACTATCCCGCCTTCTGCCACAAGGTTTCGCCTACCTTCTTTGCCTGGGTGAAGATGGCTGCTGTGGACGTGCACCGGTTGAAAAGTAGGCCGGGATTCGAAGGTGTGCCATTCTCCTTATAAAGATAAAACGCTGCATACATATTATACATGCGATGCGGTATCCAATTCTTGCGGCAATCAAAGGAACCCGTGTTTATTCGTGATGTGATATTCCACAGGCCAAAATCTTTACTTTTACCTCAACCACCCAATCCAATTCATCTGCGTGGCTGGCATTATCGTTGCGCGGGAAGAACAGGAGCGCCGCTCCATCCTCGTTGTCGACGACAGCTCCGGCGCGTGTCTGGAGGTCGTGTGTTCGAAGACTGTGTCTGTGTCCACATATGGGTGCTCCTCGCGTGCCAGTATCAGTACTAGCATCGACATGACTACGGCCACTACCACCAGCAGCATCACTGGTGACTGCAACAGTTTACATTCCATTCCAATACCTCCCACCCACCAAACATCCACCACCCACAAACCCATCAACATCACCCCATTACTCCCCGGCGCTCGCGCAAAACTCAAAGGAACAATCGCCTGCTTCCGTGGCATGTTCCAGCTACATCTAGAGCGCTATGAGATGTTGCGCGATACAAATGCTGAAGTGCGGTTTTGGGATGAGAGGACTAGATTGCGGGTGCAGGTGCTTAGTGTACCGTGGGTCGTGGGGGAGGGAGAGGTGGAGAGGTTGAGGCGGGAGGCGGAGAAGGGTGATGTGGGAAGAGGTGGGGGTAAGGTTAGAGGTAGAGATAGGTGTGGTGATGGGGATATGAATCGTGACGGACATGTGATAGCAAGGAGGAAGAAGACGGAGATGGAAAGGAAGTGGGAGAAGAGGAGGGAGGAGAGGGAGGAGAAGGATAAGTTGAGGATTTTGAAGAGGTATATGGAGGAAGATGTTGTGAGAGAGAAGTTTGCGAAGAGATGTAGAGAGATGAGTGTTTTGCGGGTTGATAGTGAGTTAATGAGGCGGGGTGCGAAGGAGAATGGCGATAATGATGACTAAAACGGATGGTGGGAATGTGGATATGAGTAGGCGCTGGTGACAGTATGTATGGAGATATGATCTTCTCTGTCTGAAATGCATGCGTCTGTTCAAAAGTGAGCAGTCGAGTAATATTCAGTTTACGCCATATGTTTCTACCTGGATAGAAGCACGTTTTACACCTTTGCTCAGAGAATCTCTGCCGCACGGCCAGACGCTGGACCAGAAACAAATTGGTTCGTTGATGACATTTCAATTGACCAAAAGCAAACCAAATTCATATATCAATCAATCGTGCCTAGACAACTAAGCATTCACGCTGGAGGGAGAAATATATCAAGCAAATTGCGTATTTATCAGGACCTGTGGATAAAAGCGAGAAAAGGAAAACTTTGCCCGGGATCATCAATCATTATAAGTAACAGAAGAACAAGAAGAGATTATCCAAAATAAACCAATCAAAATATCTATATGAAATGATCCAAGAGAAATCGGACGGTGGGGAGAAGGAAATGGAGATATCAAGAAGCAGACATCAATCCTCCACAGAGATACCCACCCACCAAAAGTAAAAGATAAATGATAAATGATATCCAAAAGAACAAGACTAGCGATCTAATCAATACCCACCTCTCCACGCTGCCCCTTGATCATGGCCCCCAGGCCCCCCTCCTCCTCTCCCGCCCAACAACCCCGTCCCACCCCCATAATAATCTTCGTCCGAAACCCAACTCCCCTTCGATGAATCATCCCAATACCGGTTTTTCTCCCTTTCCTTTTCCCAATCTCGATCCCTTACCCCTTCCATATCCATAACCCTCTCCCTGCCCTCCCTCCCCCTCCCCCCCTCCTGTTCTCTCTCCCTCTCCCGCTCTCTATCCCCATTCCTCGACCTCTCATAACTCATCCGCCTATCCAACTCCCCCCGACCCTTCTCGCTATACTTCCCATCCCCACCATCCCTCCCCGCATCCTCGTAACCATAGTCATAATCCTCAAACTCATCCAAAAACGGGGAAACAGAAGCTGAAGTCAGAGATCCCGACCCGCCCGTACCGTGCTGGTGATGTGCATGCAGGTCGCTCTTGGCATGTCTATGTCCTTTGCCATACCCTCCTGCACCATCAAATGGACTGCGCTGACGACCACTCATCCCATTGATATCATGGGAGTGCCTTTGATGGTGTCGGGGGCTAGTGGATGTCGTTCCAAAAGTATCAATCTTCAATGAGTCTTTGTACGCCTTCCCCCCACCCGGCTGAATGGAGTAGGGCTGGCGTTCGCGCTCGATTGGGAGCGGTAGGGATTGTTGTTGTGATTCATGTGGATCAACGATGTTCTGAGCTGATGAGGTACGTGGATATGTCTTGCAAGCGTGTTGGTCGTAACGAGAAGGAGATGACGAGAGGGGGATGGTGGTTGTTGGTGTCGTGCCGCCAGATGGGTCGTGATAGCGCTGCGTGGTTGACCGTTGTTGCTGCTGCTGCTGCTGCTGGTAATGTTGTGGAAGTGATTGCGCTTCAGGGAATGAGGTTGTGATTGTCGCCGCCTTTGGGTTGCGAAGTAGGTCAACTTGGCAGTGTTTGCTGATGTGGCGCTCTAGATACTCTCTGAGAGTGTAATCAGCAGATCTAGGGAATAGGCGGCGGGATATCTCTTTAGGAAACCGCTCCTTCCTGTTGTTTGGGTTGCTGATTGGCATTTTCCGTACGGTCCGCTGGAGACGGGCGAATTCCTGGTCTGGATGCGTCTGGATCATAAGAGTGGCCCAGCGCTCAAATCCGCAGGGTGTAAGTCCTGGTATTTCTGGTTTCGAATCGAGACTGTCTTGGACAAGATGATGCTCTGCACGGACCTCACGATATAGCCGTGATATGTTGGAGGTTTGATCGTCAAATATATCTGTTATTTAATGGTTAGTTCCAGTGATTATCCAGCAGTTATCAGGAAAAAGGTTTTTTTACCTCTCCAAGGATAAGAGTCTTCCAGCACATTCATTTCTTCATAGTATTTCTGCATTTTGGCAGGAGTAACTACCAGAGAGTTCCTTGGAGAATATTCCTCAATCTAGCAAACAAAATTAGACTTTGAATCCAAACAAAAGCCACCAGTTACTTAAGTCCCCATTCTTACCAAGTGGACGGCAATACCCCTCAGCAACTGCCCCAACTTCGCAGTAGGGTTTCCTTCTCTATCAAAAAGCTGGCCCCATATCTTCTCCAACGTTGTCTCCTCCGTTGCGGTAGACAGCCGTATAGGGCCTCTTGGACGAGCTCCTTCGTGGCCAAATCCTTCATGGCCAAATGGAGAGCTATTCGGATTCTCAGGTACGGGGCTTGACCTCGGACTCCTATGTACGTTTTGGCCGTAACGTGACTGGGGGTGTTGGGGTGGAGGAGACGAATAGTAATGCACAGGTTCATCCGATGGTTTGTCCGGGGATGGCGGCGTATAGACTTGGCCAGATGCGGCAGAAGGGGAATAATTGGACTGGTTCAGGCCTGGTGGGGGTTGTCCATACGCTTGAGCAACGGTTGGAGCGGGAGATGAATGGAAAGGTTGCTGTTTGCCTTGGTTATGACCCTCGATGTTAACGCCCTTCAGTTGTTGAATGACGGTAGCGGCGATCTGGGAAACAAGATCAGGGTTTAGGTAGGGATCTGCCTTGTTAACTGCGGCATTGATGGCATCGTTTACTAATATATTTTGATGCTGTTGTTGATAATATAAAGCTTGATCTGGGGGGTATGACCCGGGGACGTTAAGGTTGGTATTTGGCGGAGGTGGAGGGTGTTGGAGGGGTGGTGGATGCTGCTGGGGCAGCGGGGAATGATACTGTGGCTGATTCTGAGGGAGGCGTTGGGATTGGGCTGTATTCTGCTTTATCTCAGGCTGGTAGCTGTTGGGATAAGTGGGGTGCTGCTGATAATAGGGATCTGGATTTGGTCTGTGAGGCGGAGGTATCGAGGGACTGGAGAACTCGACGGGATTGTTGCTGGAGCTGCCAAACCCTTGCTGATGCTCATACGCATGTGAGTTTTGATAGCCGTCGTAAGACATACTGGCAACAATTTAAGGTTGGCTGCCGATGGGAAACGTTGTAAAACAGTGGGTTTTACCCTGTTTTTCGAGCAGAAATTTGCAGATCCTGGTGGTAGGAGGTTGAATTTTTAAGGGCCTCAAAAGAACCTCTCCAAGTAATACAGGTTATTGCTTGAATAAAATGGATAGATAACGTAGGAACGTCCAGGTAAGCTCCCGTATTTGATGAAAGACGTTCTTCTGGATAGACCGGGCAGTTGGCGAGTTGGATTTTGTTGAGATAATGAATGATGCAGTAGTTTAACCAAGAGGAAATTCAGAGCTGTGATGTAAAGTGAAGCGAAGTGGGGCAGACTGGTCAACGCCCAACTTGCGGCTCAACGGCCACCAGAAACATTCTATTATATTTGAATATAACAACGAAGATATATCTATTAGATAGGATAGACCATATTAAAACCTATATTTAATTCAAAATCGAGATGATAATCAAATTGAGTGACCGAAATATATAAATCAAAATGTAGAACATAAATAAGAAAGTAATAAAGTTAAGATTTTAAAAAACCTTTTCGTAAATGTATATAACTTATTACTGAATTAACTAACTACTAAAAGATTTACTTAAAAACTTATTAAATTTAACTTTCTTATTCTTAATTTACGTATTTAATTAAAAATATGAAAGTGTTAATAATTATTTTTTAAATTATTATAAAAATTAATAAAAAGTAATTAAAAGTTTATAAGAATATATTTAATTTAATTGTTAATAATTCCTCAGTAAAATTAGTCAGAATTTATAAAATAGAGAAAATTTTACAATTTAAAATTAATTTATATATTTATAAAACTTTTCATAAAATTATAAGTCTTTTTTTTTTCTAAATAGAGACTAGTAAAGTAAACTGATAACAACATGTTACATTAAAGTAGTTCAATAAATTTCATATAGTAATAATAGCAGTGTAATCTACATCTTTCTGAGAGAGGAATTCAGCTTCTGTGAGCTTGAAATTCACATTATTTAACATGATAGTAAGGTTTGAAACTTGAGAATGGTCAAATAAAACATTTCCTAGAAAGTAAAAATCATATGCATTGAGTGATAACCTGTGTTGGTGATCAGTCATGTTAATAATTAACTCATGAAAACAGTCTTTGAAACAGACAAACGTTGACGATAGAAAGAAATAGATATTTTAGAATAGCAGAGACACAGAGATTATTGTTACTCAACAAATCATCCATGGTCTGCTAAATATTGGCGGTAGATATCCATGTATATAATTATACGCAGAATATCAGATATCTAGCAGGTGCTTGTTGGGGATGCTCGTGTGTATATATTTGTTTCGACGGAGAGCACAATGTCATTGATCAAGTTGGTAAGCTAATATCCAGACAAGCATTATCCGTGGTAGAGATTTAGGTTAGTTCCGCCGTATCCATAAAATTTTTCTATGGGACTGATTTTAGGTTAGAGAAAACCAATGATATTATATTATTAATATGCTTTTTTTTTGTTCTTTTCAGCAGCTAAACTTTAGCTTGAATGGGAAAGTTGCAAAAACAGAAATTGAAACAATACGATTTGGGTTCCCACCATTTATTCACCGTGATAAAATGTATATTTTTTTTAAAAAAAACAAAAAAAAAAAAAAATTTATACGCTAGCTGTCTGTTCTCACTGGCATCAAATCATGATAACCACGGTCCAGGTTCTCTTTGAGTGGCAACCCGAATATTACTTTCCATCTCCGCTTTCTCTGGTGTTACATGGTGCAAAACAAATAGCAGGACGCAAGAAGTAGCATAAAACATAAAGCACGGAATTAAGCTGGAAACGAGAGACAAGAAACAGATCTCATGTTGATAAAAGAGTGTGCCTTTCAAGCGAGCAACCGGCTATCCCGCAAATCAACCACTTAGAATATCATCTCGAAACTAAATTGCCACCGTCCACTTACATATATTTTTGGAGATCAACGTCGGATTCATATTCATCATCCGATTCAACGGTCCTCTCAGTTGGCCTAGGCCGGTGCATGGTTGGCGCCTCGTTTTTCGAGTAACGTGTGCCCTAGATTTTATTTCCACAATTAGAACATCTGCACAAGGGCGTGAGAACGTGGTGCACGGCAGCATGCGTAAGAAACAAGAGTAAGTGAATATGAGAGAATACCACCAACAGAAGTCTTTGCAAAACCGGGGTTGCCTCTTTTCTGTCTTTCCGCGGCTGCCTTGCTGGCCATCTGGCTACGAGCACGAACTCCCAACATCTCCCATCCGCTGTGCACACTCGGAGGGGAAGCTGGTGCTTCAGCAGTCCGGATATGCGGCTTGCCCCGCGGATCGAAGGCGATGAATTCATGTTCGATGTGGAAATCTCCGTCCTGCCTGTCCTGTTCGTTGGAAGATTCAGCTAGCTCGTGTTTCTTTAAAGAATTGGACACCTCGCGTGCCTTAGAAATTTCGGCTAACTCCCGATTCTTAAAGGATTCGACCGGATTGCCTTCTTTGGTCAACTCGCGTTCTTCAGACGTTTCGGACAGCTTATCTTCCTCAGAACCTTCGGACACCCTGCGATCCTTAGAATGTTTGGCCAGCTTGCCTTTATATCTTGCATCAATCCACATTTCACCGCCGTCGATGCCATGGTCATCGGTGTTTTGGATTGCAGTAGTTAGGTTGACAGGATGGAAGGTTTTCTGCTCCTGGATTGCATTGTCGGTGGTGGCAGGGTTACTCGTTGGTGCAAGAGCATGACGATTGCCTCCTTGGTTATGGGTTATGATAGTGGCTGCATAGCTACTCGCATTTTCGATCGCCTCTCTAAGATCTTCTGAAACGGGTTCCCTATCCAAGTGTCCCTGGACACAGTTTTTGCATCGCTGTATTTCCAAAAGAAATGATAAAGATCCAATCAGCAAGACAAATGGTGGCATGGTAGGATTTAAATCAAAATTCAGAGGATACATATGAGCAAAGCTTACCGCGCTATCTGGGTCGTGACGCTGGGTTTTACTAAAGAACTCCAAAGCCATAGTCGTGTCACAGACGCAGCAGGTGAGTTCAACAACCTGGTTAGTCGCACAATTAAAGCAGGTGGCGAGTCTTTCATTGGTAGTGGCATTGGAACTCTTTTCGAGGATACATCTGCGAAGCAGATCGAGTTGGCGTTTGGAGAAAGCTGACTGAAAGCGGGTCCTAGTGCACATCCTGCATCGTATTCTTTTTTTATTTTTATTTTTATGTTGATATGACACAGACCATTTACATAAACACTGCTTAGAGTTGGGAGAAGGGTTAACTCACGTTTCAGGTAGTTTGATGGAAGCGATGCTGTAACTCGTTTAGCAATCCTTTCTTCACGACGTAGGAGAGTTGAAATGTAGGTCTTACCACCGGTTATGGACGATGTAGTCGAAACGGCGATTCCGGGGTGCCATGGCTCCTAAGATTGCTTCTTGATAGATTCTGAAAGGAACAGGACACGGATGATGAAGGGGAAGATTTGGAGCTGCAGCAAAGTCAAGGAGAGATGGATGAGAAACTCAGGCAGTTTTGAAACCTAGAGGGCACTTATCCCCAGCAACTGAGTGTTGTTGAGTAAATGAAGAAGGTAGAAGAGGATTGTTGTATTCTTCAGTGAAAGATTCGTGTTGTGTGGTCTTTTTGAAACGGTGAAGGTATATCAAATTACCACAGTGAGAGCAGAGATGTCCAATAACAAGCTGCCTCTCAGAGGCTGGTATATAACAACATCTCATGTACGGAGAATTTTCCATCAAATGGGACAAACTAAGCTTCAAGCCAAAGCTTACACTTCTTTAATAAAGAGACCTGAAATCCCTCCCATTCATCCAAGTAGAAGATCGGGGAAGTCAACCTCATAACCTCAGTGGTTCGCCCACAAGCTCGACGAGACAATGCATATATTGTAAATGTTGATAGATCCATTGGCCCTTGGAAGGTAATTTTTCAAATCCTGATATCGGCAGTTTGAACTTCAATCCGAGAACTTGAGGAAAGTTCTCGAAGTTAAATCGCAATTCTGAAGCGTTTGCTAAACAAACGGCAGTTGGCTGAGAAGAGGATAGCTGTACACGACGGAGAGAAACATGCAGAGCTCAATGCACAGTTGTCATTGCAAAGCATATACCGAGCTCAAGGTTATCAAATGACCTCGCAGAGGGCAATAAAACACAACCAGAGACAGACGAATTGGAATAGCGGCAAGAGAGCCAGGCCATCTCCGGTATAAATGCTGTTAGGAAGAAAAGCTCCAAATTCCCGGGAACATCGTCGACAACCGTTCAAGATTAATCTGGTGCAATAATCCTGCGGTTCTGGAGTAGCTTGAATTGCTAAAGGCATTAGGTTAACTACTCCAAAGGTTATCACTCGATAGGCGTTTGAAAAGTGGAAGCCCCAAAAATCCTAAAAACAATTGGGGGAGTCAACCATTAGGAGAAAATAATACCTTCAGATTTTTCAGGGAGTCGATGTGGTGGTGTGAGAGTGTCGAGCTTCATGGTTGGAGACGTGGAAATACACATTTACTGGAAGGCTGTTGGATTGATCCGCCGATCAGCCAACTAGTTAACTATTCCCTCAACCCGCAAGGCTGTGTCTGTAGTTTCTTCGTGTCCTCGGACAACTCTCTTAACAGGCACTAGGCAGAGTGAACGTCCGCAAGCGACATGGATGCGTCCCTCTCGTTTTCAAAAATGAATGCATGTGATCCAGTCTGGCTTCTTGACAGAAATCGCAAGATGGCTTTACTATTATTAGTTGAACCCCAATTCCCCGCGACTGGGCACAATCCACAGGGCAGCCGTTGAAAGGAAATGAACTCTGCGATGATTTATGGTAAAGCCAGCTGGAATTATACCTCTAGCTACCTTGGTCCTGTATAGTCCACGATTTAAACGTGCAGGAGATACATGGATCTGGCATATGCCAACAGATAAAAATATCGGGAGACTGGGAATCCACTTCCGTGATTCGGATGGGTTCTAATACTGGTTCTCCTGCTCGCACGACTTAGAGAAATCGCGAAATCCCTAAGGTAACGCCACTTGAGGGTATATTTACTACAGGGACTAGCACAGCCGGCAACAGTTGCCCCAAAACAGAGAGTTTTAAGAATGGAGCAGCAGAATTGAGGATTCTTCAATGCCGTTCCACCAGTGGTTTTTAACCGCCTCTGTTATCACGAGTTTATGCTGTTGACGGCAAGGACGCAAAGAGGGCCGGGGAGGCGTCGAACCCTCAGGTGGCGATCCAGCCCCGCGCTGTTGGAAAGAATGAAAAGCTCTATGACAAGAGTCAGGTGAAGATATCTCGGTATGATACAGCAAAGCAACAGCAGGTGCTGACCGAACCACTATTAAAGCGGTTCCATCTGCTAGGTGGTCCACCTGATGCGATCAGAAACACCCCAGGGCCTGAACGAGACCAGCCTTCCAGCCGTCTGTTGGCGAGATACCATAGAGGCTTCTCGAATAGAAGTGTTCGATTGCCTCTAGATAAAATACAATCCCAGTCTTCATTCCCAACGCGCAGGTCTTCGTATATAGGTATCGAACTTTCCCGCATCGTTGCCGTGGAAGAAATACCGAGATGAAGCCGCGCAAGGACCTTATTAAAAGATCGATGAAGTTTAGAAAACCGAGATGCAACTAGACTCCGATTACATACATAGGCCATGATTTTAGCGGTATAATTCTGCAAAGGGTTGCAGTCATTTTTGGCAAAGATGGTGCAACGTCGAGCTGTAAAACTGTAAAACTGCTTGCTTCCACCGCTTGTTTTGTATTTTTTAAACACCCCTGTGCCTGTCTTTACCGATATGACGCTGAAGAATGCAAGTGGTCTCTTCCCCCTTCGGACCAGAATTGCCGGCAGGACTCGATCATTGGCAAAAATTGAAAATCGGCGTCCAAATGGGGAAAATCTCTGGCAGGCGTTCGATAAAGAAAAGAAGAAACTGAAGTGTTACATTGCGGTATTGTGCAAATCTACTTCAAAGAGGCTAGCTATCTTTAAGTACTTAAAATATTCACGGTCTTGGGCTATGATTATTTTTCTAAACCGTGACTGCTTACTACTCTTCCGCGTCCAGCAACCTCACTCAGGCTTCGAGCACCAACGCTGAGTTCTCTACATAACTAAGTTACCCCCCCATGGCTGGCTCAAAATCAAGCCGATACTTTGGCCCCTGTTTGACTACTAAGCATGGCTCTTTCTGTCGGACCCTTCCGTCACGTGCCATATTTTCTAATTGTTCTTGTAGTTTAAGCAACCTTTGCAATTGATCAAGCTTGCCGTTCTGTCACTTTCGAATGAAGAGGCCATCACTCTTTTAAAGAATCCACAGTTATAGATCATTAAATGACCTTTTGATTAGTTAATTTTCTCACCAAAGCAGATTTTTCGGTCGACGTCCAGAATGAGAAAGGTCTATTACCACTTCGTCTCGCAGCTTCATCCGCGAAACGTAAATAGCGTTATGATCCTTATCACCAAAGGGTGTCTTAGTAAGGGCCGCGCGAGGGCTCTCCCAAATTATGCACAGGGATCGTTGTGTCCAGACATCATTGCACACAGCTATACAAAGAGCAGTGGGCGCTGAACAACGAGGATCGTACAAGGAAATAATCATTTTACTAATAGAGAACCCTGTTAACGTTCAACAGCGCGATGGCTGCAGCAGCACTGCATAGGATCACATTTCTATGGGAGAGGAATTTTCATGGCTGCCGAGTTAAAGACTCGCCGCCTCTTGATTCAAGTGAGAGATGAACCGCTCGATGTAGTTAGGTCACAATGAAGGCAGGCAATATCAAGCCTCTAGAATGCCACAGCTGTTCTCGCCGAGTTTTATGATGCGCACGGGAGTGTGCTGATTAGCCACCTGAGCGTTTCTTGATATGATCGTCAAGTATGGACCAGTGAGAATTCTCACCTTCTCCAGTCCAACAATGTTACGATTTATGCATGTCGCTGGATGCATCTTCCGGCAAAAAATATAAGTCTCCATTTCATCAAATCATGAGAGAACGCTGGTTAATGGCCAAGATTAGGAGCAATGGGTTCATATTGGTTCACTTCTCTTCCAGCGTTTTGAACCCCAGTTTACACTCTGTTACTTAATCTTCAAATCCGGAACAGATCCATAACAAACAAGCGTCCGCAGAGGCACCTATCATTTCCTGTTTACTATCCGTATATGCGTCCTCATTTAACTCTAGTTAATTCTCGAAGTTCAGTTCAAGGCTCACAGCCCAGCATCGCTTATATGGTTACCCGTGCAAAGAGTTAGTTACAAGCATGTTAGTAACCTTTAAGGTGTTCTTCCTCCACTAAAATTGTCGAATGTTTGACAGGTTCGATAGCTATCCCACTAGTTGCCACAATGTCCTCCACAGCTGCTCCCCCCAATAAATCGGAAAGAGGACTGATAACACTTTGCCCCAATGGGCAACACACTAAAGTCAAATCAAAAAAAAAAGCATCCATAGCCAAATTTGTGAGTATTAGCCATTTCCGGGGCGTCTTGGTAGTGCTTTCGGGTTAATTTCATTCTACTAGATGTCCACTCTGGCGTTTGAAACAAAGAGGAAACAATTAATTAGAGCTAGGCGAGTACTTGAGAACCTGGATAAAAATAACCGGACATTGGAGTTTAACAACGAGATAAATCTTGCTGAGAGCTATTTGAAAGTGGGAAAGCCCCTTATCTACATATCTCAAAAGAATGGAAAAACCCATCACAATCAGAGCCATAGCCACCCCATCACGAAATTAACCGGGAGCCAGAACGTGCCCTCTTAAGAATTTCAGTTTCCCGAAACAGCCAGCACCAAATCACCTTCTCCACCCATGTTGCCCAAATTTTCGAAGCAACATCCAAGAGATGCCTGAAGCTCTTGCACCCAAACTTCCCTCTGGAGAAGCCACTTCAAATGCCCCAATCACGCATTGGACCATGAGAACCATAACTACCAGTTCCAGCATCAACAGAACCACTCGGCAGAAGACATTCGACACCACCCTCCTTCTTAACCAAGTTTCGAGACTTCTAAGCTTGGAACTGTTGCCTCGACGCTTAGCGTGATACCAAACGTGTCCATAGGTTCTATCCAGTGGATGTTAACGGACGCAGCCATAGCGTCTCCAGCGTCGGAATGCAGAACTCGTGCTGCACGTGATGCACTGTCTCGGGAGAAAGATTATGCAACTGCGTTTGGGCGTGAGGGGGTGCAGGCATATAAGATTGTGGATACTGATTATGGTTTGCCCGTAATGCGAACGGTAAGCTTGATGCGAACAAAGAAGATGGCGGGAGACCTGTTGAGGGAGAACTAAAAGTTGGGGTTCCAACCTGAAGAGGTGTCTATTATCTCACGTGTTACTGTTGGGTTTAGGGTTGGCTGAGTCGGGGATATACAACAGAAGTAGCTATTACAATAGGGCCGGCCAGAAAGATCCTTTTGATGGGTCACCATCTTGGTAATAAAGATACATATACATGTGCCAGGATCTGCTTCCAAGGTTCTCCCTAGAGAATGTAGGGCAAGTAAGCTCAGTCAGACTTATCTGGCGTGATCGTAACCGCGTGGCACTGAATTCCATTACTTTTGCTTTCCCCTCGTAATACAGCACGGAGTCTTCTCCTGCCATATCTTACTTACTTCTTCTTTCGTGATAACTTCAACGTGGAAGAGAAAAAAATGAAGTAAAAATGGCACTATTAGCCCATTTTAATATTCAAACCGGAACGGTCAGAAAGACCTCCCATTTTGGGAAGTTCAGTTTGAAATATTTGGAATACGCCACCACTCTTCTGTGTAGTACCGTTATTTTATTAACGGTGGTAAAGGAGACCTATATTATGCGGAGGCCAGTATCCGAGTCTCTTCTTATCCGTACCCGTACCCGTCAAGGGTGCGCTGAGTCAGGGCAGCTCCCAGAATATCTCGAACAATTTCAATAATATAATACTCATCACTGAGCTTCGTCGTGTCAGAGGAGAAAAACAAAACCTTCCCAAACTAAGCCATGCCATGTAGAAATAGCACACTCCTGCTTTCGGCTTTTTGTGGGCTTTTCTTTTTTTTCTTTCTTTCTTTTTTTTTCTTTTTTTTTTTTTTTTTTGTAAATTGTGCTGAAGGTTCCATGGGTAACCCAAGGGTTGGATATCGAAACCCCTTCCCGCCAGATAAAGGGCTGCAACCATAGAAAGGGACCAAGTCTTACCACGGAAATGAAAACCCATTTTGCGGGTGATTACCTCGAAAACTATCAGTGAAATTGATATGTGAAAAATAATCATAAATATTTGTTTCCTTTTATTTGGGTTTTGGTTTCCGCAGCGGGCCGCTGCCGCGCGGAGCTGCGCTAGCGAGCGGGCGCTTTGCCTATTCCGGCCCCCAGGTTTATCTTGATGTCTGGAGGAATCTTGCTCCATGAGGGACATCCATATGTACTGAACAGTCACTTATCAGCAACTAATTTAGGTATGCTGCATTTGAACGCATTTAATGTGCATGATTATTCAGTAATTGTGGAATCGGTAGGTAACAATTTTCCAAGGCACAGTCACAAATAACTATCATTATATGTTCCCCAAATCTCTCTGCTCAACAGGCCTCTTCCGCATGTTCTCTCGACAGGGAGAATCAACAAGCCTATAGCTTATTGAAATTATAGGGTAAATCCAAAACGAAGGCCTCTACAGATATTCATAATATATTCCAGAGTAAGGGAGGGAGGAGCATATCAATATCCCAAAGCCATGCCTGCCGGGGAACGCCGAGACCATTATTCATTCACTGGTAGGTGGGGTAAAGGAGGCAAGAAAAGGACCAAGACGGGCCAGAAGATATTTGATCGATGATCAAACGAGGAAATACTTCTCATGAAAAAGGAGACATCGACCACAAATATGAGATCCTTGCGCGGACACACTGCTATTGCCATGAGGAATGGGGCAAAGTCGCACAGAGTGTCAGCTAGTTGAGACATCTCAATCTTGGAAGACAAAAAAAAAGAGGACCTTGGGAGGTTTCGAATTGTTCATGCATTGTTTTTTACTTTTTCTGTGTGCCCTGAGAAGTTTGGATAGTTAGACCCCAAGTGCTTCGTTTCCTCTCCAACTGCTCCGTACTAGACCGATCGTCTGAACGGGTACATAGCTAATTATTCAATAGTCTAGCGTCTCATGCTCGACTCCTCCATTGACCACGTTCCGAGATTTGGACAGCGGGGACAGATATGCACCCATGATCGCCTTGAGGCAATGGATTTGTTTCAAGGTCATTTCACCGTGACTTGCCACCCAGCGTCCATCTGTTTATTCGGGCAAACTAACTTTTTGCCGCGGAACAAATGGACTCGAAACTTGTGTGATAGACAGGTAGTGGCGTTGAGTGGGCGGTGGGTTTGAAGTTTATGATCACCACGGATCCAATATAACTCCGTTTGCCAGGTGGCAGATAATTACAGAGATAATTACAGCAAAATCAAAATGGTGTTTATCATTTGAGCTACATATTTCGCACGTTCGAGGTATAATCTTCAAGATGAACAAAAAGCGTCCCCTCCTTTCATAACCGCTATTGACGCCTAGTTCAATCTCCATTTCCCATTTTTTTTAATCAAATATATCAAAGGAGCCTAGGCTGGGATAAAATGCTACCCTTTGCCAGGTACAGAGTAAAGTGTATACACACCTTACATCTCTTCTCACGAGGCAGGGAAGCGAATGAAAAGTGCCTTTTGAAGTCCCATGCTAAGAAGAATAGAACAAGCCAGAAGAAATGCAAGCTCCGCAAATGAGATGACATTGGTCTCATCCTGATGGCCGCCTGCACTTAAGGCCAAGCTAGCAACATCCACAGAGGGGGATCGTAACTGGAGCAGCCGGGTAAAAGAACTGGGGCGCCTGGATCTTTTTGTTCAATTTCAACGGCTCGCTGGATACTTTTTTGAGTTTCGGTCCCATAATTTTTTTCAACCTGCCACAGCAACAGGAGCAAGAAGCATCACAGAACGCTCTTCTGCAAATGCGATTCTGGATTGATGCGGTGAACAGCGGCATCCGCCATCTTCTCTAGCCATGATAACTCGCATAGGCAAATATCTTATCTTCCGGTATTATTGCTGCCAACAGGTTTTTTTTTTTTTTTTTTTTTTTTTTGGTGAGGGCGGGGGTCTGATTCTAATGATACAATAAAACTTACGAAGGGGAATAATAATGAGAAGTACCTTGCGTCCCTGTAGCACATCCATAACCCTGCACAAAGCTGACAAAGGTGCCAATTTGGAGATTATTATCTTCTGATCATTTTCTGGGCTTGGTGTGAAGAGAAGCCGAAGATACAAGCCGTTTATAGGCACATTTCCCAGACTTGACCGCCCCTTCCAGCCAGAATAATGTCCAGGAAATTGCTTCCCGAATTATGATTGGTTGGAAACTCCTTAATTAAATTCCCTTATTATTATTTTCGATTTTTTAATTTGGGTTTTCTTCACCGGGGCCACGAGCCCCCCAGCGCTCTGAGATGGGGACCATGAGGTTGGTTGGGTTGCCTTTACTCAGCCAAATAAACGGGCATTGATCATCGGATTGGTCTTGAAAAAGTAGTTGACATGGATGAAACCAAAACTGTACCAGTCTTGTTTACGATGTGTCTGGTAATTTATTTTCATTGGGGGCAAGGGCGGCTTTTGTGATAAGGCAAGTTTTGGCGTGATTATTTCTCATCGCTTCTCTTGGCGCCCTTCCCTTCCCCTGACCCTTGGTAAGGACGTTATGAAATGTGCATACTCCTTAACATTTGAAACGTTTCTTGTCTCCATCGGTCGGGGACCCGGGATCTGGATGAAGCAAAGGGGCACGAGCATTGGAAAATACAGAAAACAAAAATCACCACCAAAATTACATGAGATCTGATGACGCATTTGTTTCTCAATATATCCTCCTCTTCTCCATAGAAATATCCTTTTATTATTTTTTATTTTTATTTATTTAATTTTATTTTATTTATTTATTTATTTATTTTCACTTTTCCTTCGACAGCCGCCGAGTTTGTGATTCAGTCGGGCCTCGAGAGAACGGCAGATTGAGGCTTGTTGCAGGCGGGCTTTTTTCAAATGGATCGAGTTTACAGGCTGTGCTTGGAACCCGCAGGTGAGAGTGAAAAGGACTTTGGAATGAACTTCCAGGTGGCTTCTCGGTATACTACCCTCCTCTCTGCTGTGAGTGTCTTGGCAGATGTGGGCTGGTGATCAGAGGGAATAGATTTCGCCGCAATACAATAATACAATACCCAGAACCTGTTGCCGGTTTAGGCAATTACCAAGCCCCGTACAGGCAAATACAAGTGACCGTTGCCATTATCATCACTGATGATACTTTTCCCATACACTGCACTATATTAGGGAGCTATGGGCGAATCGAAAAGAGCGAACCAAAACGAGAGCTCAGATGCAGAAATGCCTGAAATCATACCCAGGTAGCCAGCTCCAGCTTCGATTCAGGCTCCAATATCTCTCTTCTATTATTCCTCCCACGGGTAACATGACCTCTTCCAAGTTTGTATTGTGCCTCCTTGGCTCGCCTTGGACGCTGGAGGATCGTTTGTCAACCATCTAAAGGCAACCTGTCAACCAAACAGGAGTAGATTTGGCAGACGTGGGTGGAGGCTGGAAGCTCTGACAAAAGGTGCGTGCCATGGCCCCGCGGCCCATGGAACGCTTCATCCATTCGGGAACCTAAAATTTAGGAACATCAATCACAAAGAGCTTGTCCGGAGTAGGTATGTGGATTATAGACTTTTGAAATATGTATGCGTTGACTTGCATACGGAGGAGTTTGGTCAGTTTTAACGTGTCGAGTCGACAAATCGTAGCAAGGAGGTACCAGAGGCATAATTCCGAGTTTATTCTTCTTCTACTTCTTCTTCTTCTTCTTCTTCTTCTTCTTCTTCTTCTTCTTCTTCTTCTTCTTCTTCGTGCCTGGGTAACTGGATGCTCGTGGTGTGGAGTAGTAAGCGTCATCTACGAAAAGAATTGGAAGTAGGCACTTGAATGTTAGGGAGCATTTCTGCTGAGACACAAGGTCGTGGGTTCATATCCCACCTTCACCAATGGTATCCCTCACAGAAGGAGGGTGGCTGGTGAATTAGAAAAGAATCAATGATTGAGAGAATTAGGGCACAATCATCATGTTTCTACTCCGTAATTGATTCCTTGTGTTTGTATGATTCCATGACTAGTAACTAAGGTTTTGAGACTTTTCCTAGTTAGTATAAGATCAGTCCTCAGGAGGAGATGAGTAATCATACAGGGATTAACAGAGCTCCCTGGAGACTTTCATCCATCCATATGGGTGTGGTTAAAACCCCCTTCATCAAGGATGACATATCTGACGTATCTCGAATATTGGTACCCAGTCGAGCTATCATAGCCTCAGACTGCATATGGTTAGCCAAGAATTATTAATAATAATCATAATAACTAGTTAACTAACAGGATGCTCATGTTGGTGAAAGGTGACAGGGCATCCTGTGGGTGGAACTGGATGAAATGGATACGACCTGATATATGGTCTCGCCTTTCTTGTGTTCTCCCTGGTCCTTGTCCTTTCCTCAAAATAATAATGGATGGCGTGAAGGTTACCATCAAAATAATATTCCCGGGGTGTTCAGTTTTCATAACTGAAAGTCTGTCACCACTCCCCGCACTGTCTGAGTAATTTTGTTATATTATTTTTGGAAATCCAATTTTTGTTTTTGTTGTTCTTTGTTTTATTTTTCATTCTTATTAAACCCGTAATGTGGTGGATAGCTAGGAACTGATTTCAACGAGAAAAGAATTAACAACGGTGTGTATCTGTACGGACTCTGCGTATATGACTACGCGTGGTAATACTGGATATCCACGTAACAAGTCGGTACTATCCTTGTACGGGCTAGTACTAATGTAATATCCGACCACTTTTGGTGATCTTCAGCCCGTGGACGCTCATTGTTCGTTCTGCCTCCGATCTTGGGAAGAAGAGAAGAATGAGAATGGCAGAGCTACATAGAGCTTTGGAGTCCATAGCTTGGAGAAGGTACAACATATACCGCTCCCCATCTTCCAAGCTGCAGGCTGTCTATAGTGGATATCTGCAAACAATTAAATTTCCAGAGGACTGACCGGCTAGTAGTCCGGGGATACCACTGTCGGAATCCGGGCTAGCACTAACCTCCTTAGCAGTGGGCACTACCACCAACCCTGACACCAAATGACACAGCAAGGCCCACGACCGGGCAGCAGATTGGCAGATAAAAGCGATTCCCCACCGCTGGACCTGAGCTGTCACGTTTCCAAGGGTCTGTCTCTGTGCGCCAGTTCAGCCCAAACAACGAGAAGAATCCACCACCCGTTGGCAGCAACAACAACCAAGAGGCTTGCTCTCCTTCATTTTAGCGGCTCCTCGTCTACGGATCCGCTCCCGTTGCTGTGGTCTCAGCTAGTCGTGAGCCAGGGACTCCTAGGGCTCAGTAGATGCGGTGATCTCCTCTGGTCTCTGTTCTCCTTTCCTTCCTTTTCCCTCCCTTCTCCTTTTCCCATCTCTATTCCCGTCTTGTCCTGGTCACGACAACGGATAACTCCAACAATCCCAGTCAACAGACACTACCCTCTAACTCTTCTTTCTCCTACTGTTCGGTCTTGCGTTGTGATTCCATCCTTTCTTACATCAACTTGCATAATACTACACCACCACGACCTACCTGCCCACCCTCCTGCATCCAACCCACCCTCATCCTTCATCCTCGCGTTCTGGGTGGAAGAACATGGTCTCGGTTTTCCTCTCCTGCCTCTCCTTGACCCAAGCATCAGAGTCGCTCTTTCTCCCTCTACGTCGTTGAGGAAAATTCCTGTTGCTCTCCGGGTTCTAGAGGCTCTATGCCATTCGCCGGACACCGAACTGCAATCAGCTTCAAGAATGCTTCTAACATACCATCTACATTATTAATTATTCTTTCCTCACTATCTTTAATAATCACACTACAATCCCATCGTACATACACGAAAAATACACGTTGATACAAGATATCTGGGTGAAAGGGAGGGTGTTAATCTCCAGGTTCCTGGAAACCTACCATTTAAGGTATGTTTTATTTCTCTCCCTTTTGCTGGCCCCAGCGTTCGTCCATGGTCCATTTGCTAATATGAAAACACGTCGTTATCTATGGCTGGCAGGGTTCTCAAATTCAAACTTCCAATTTACTCATATATCTCTAAATCTATTTTTCTATCCCTATTATATCTGCAGGCAGAAAACAAACACCAAATAATTAGGCAACATGACAGTAACATACGATCAAACGTATCGGAATTCTAATATGGCGACCGCCACGCTCGAAGATAAATTCGAGGTGATTAAGGAGATTGGCGATGGGAGCTTTGGGAACGTTGTTCTTGCTCGAACGCGGACGGCGGGTTCTCATGTCGCGCGGAGGGGAACGATGGTGAGGGACCTTGCCATTATTTTCGTATCACTTTTGGATTTTGTTTACACGCTGTTGGGACGCGAATCAGTTATTAATATGTCGTGCTTATTTTATCTGGCAGGTTGCAATCAAGACGATGAAAAAGAAGTTCGAATCCTTTTCGTCATGTCTAGAACTGCGTGAAGTCATCTTCCTACGAACCCTCCCCCATCACCCCCATCTTGTTCCCGCCCTCGACATTTTCCTTGACCCCGTGAGCAAGAAATTACACATTTGCATGGAATATATGGACGGCAACCTTTACCAGTCAATGAAGGCCCGGGATCAAAAGTGTCTGGATCCGAAAACCGTGAAGAGCATATTATTCCAGATACTGTCTGGATTAGACCATATTCATGCACATAACTTCTTCCATCGAGACATCAAGCCCGAAAACATACTGGTTTCAAGTGCTGGCTCCGGAGATTCATCGGCATTCAGTCGATTTACGCCCCCTTCAACACCATCCACCTACATCGTGAAAATTGCAGACTTTGGACTTGCCAGGGAAACACATTCAACAGTTCCGTATACCACATACGTGTCAACACGATGGTATCGTGCCCCTGAAGTTCTGTTGCGGGCAGGCGAATATTCTGCGCCTGTGGATATATGGGCTCTTGGGGCAATGGCTGTGGAAATCGCCACCTTGAAACCCCTCTTCCCTGGTCGGAATGAAGTCGATCAGGTATGGCGTGTCTGCGAAATCATGGGGAGTCCAGGCAATTGGTACAACAAGTCTGGCAATAAAGTTGGGGGAGGGGAGTGGAGAGAGGGTGCCAGACTAGCTCAGAAATTGGGTTTCTCGTTCCCAAAGGTAACGCAATAACCCTAACCTTAAAAAAGATAATTTGGATACTTTGGCCGGGGTTACAGATTTACTGATTATTGAGAGATAGATGGCCCCTCATTCGATGGAGAGTGTCCTCCCACTCCCAAACTGGCCATTCGCGTTGAGCAATTTTGTCACTTGGTGCCTGATGTGGGATCCCAAAAGCCGGCCAACCTCGTCACAGGCTTTGAACCACGAGTACTTTGCGGATGCTCTCGATCCACTCCGGCCGAAATCGTCCCGTCTGCTTGGCCGGAAACAATCAGACAAGAGCTTCAAGGCAGGCTCACGGGAAAATAACGATTCTCCTGCTCTTTCTTCTAAATCGTCTTGGTTCCGAAGGTCCTTGATTGGTGGACGAGACAGCCCCGCTCCTGTACATGAGGAGAATGACAGCCGTCGGCCCCCAGCTGTGTCCTATAATACTGTCCCGGAAGTACCGACCATTAAGAATAAGTCAGCTGCAAACAAGCGTGCTACGTGGACGAATGGCGCGCCCATGCCCATTCTCCCATCCATCCGTCCAGTCTCTCCGTTATCCAATGTTGTAACCGCACCGGCCAACTCCAGGATCTCCCACGCCAACGATGGAAATGGTGCAGATCAGGTCCAAAACGGCAAACTTACCGGCAAGAAGATTGGCCGACAGCTGTCTATGAACTCGAATGGGAACCACTATTCAGATATTCATCGCCAAGAGGCGGAGAGAGCACTTATTGGTGCTGGAGGTTTAGTAACCCCCGCGAGTGCCACAAAGGAAAGCTTTTTCTCTCATCTTCGAAAACGAGCTCGTAGACTTTCCGGCAGGACCCCAGGTGTTCTCCACGCCAACGACGATGTCGAGGCCAATGCTGGATGTGTCCCCTGGTCAAATCGGTCCTCAATGGCCCTGGATGCGGTAAATGTCACGGACCAAAAAGCTACAGAAGATTTCTCGGAGTTGGATAAGGCGTTACAAAATGTGCGCTATAGCCTGGACATAGCATCACCCAGCCTGCCTAACCACCATCACCACCAGCACTTCAATTCTTCACCGACCCCATCTTCAAATCCAAACCGACAGTCGATGCCCACACAAGGACCGTCTGTACGTACTTCTACGGAAAATTACACGTCTAACCCAGTGTGTCCAACTCCAGGTCCAATATCCAGCCGGACACGACGTACGCTTCAACTCTCTACCCGCCCGGTTAATCGATATGAAACTCCAGAAGAAGAGGACGAGCTACTTCAAGAGGTGCTCCATTCCACGACTAAGGCTGCACGACACCTTGGTCAACAACAGCAGCAACAACAGCTACGAGCAACATCTGTAACAATGGACTCCTACGACGATGACGACGGTGACACCATGCTACGCCACGATCGTGACTATCACAACCACAATCGCATCTACGGCCACCGGGACACCCACAACAATTCCATCAATCGCAACTACCAATCCATCCGCGCCATAGACCCCAGCAGCCCAATCTCAAACCCCTATCCAACCCCATCCCCTTCATCAAAATGCGATGGCATCTCCTTTTCCCCGGAGCCGCTAACTTCCTCGAAGCCGTTGAGGGTGCACAGGTCCAATGCTGTATCGGCACTCAAGCCCTCTCAGGCACCTGCAGTCGAGGTGACCGACAAGCGCGATCTTACCCGTCAATGGCCCACACCACCATATGATGAGCAGCAGTGGGCTGAATCTGCTGCGAAGAGTATCTTTGCTGCGGCTACCTTTCGATAATTTCTTCCTTCCCTCGTCCGGATGATGGAGATTATGGTTGTTTAATGTTGGGTCCAAACTTCTGTTGAAGATTTAATCCATGCATCCATTCATTCATTCATTGATTCATTTCTGTTTCTGTCCTTGCTTCTCACCTATGCACTGTCTCTGTTTTTGATAATTTTGCTTTAAAATCCCGTCAGGCAACACGCAACTCCATATATTTTTTTTCTTCTAAACACTGGGTTTCCACATCTCATATTCAGGCATCATCTAAACCAATTTTTTTCCATTACAATTTTTTTCTATTACTATCTATAATTTTCATTTCTCTTGTTGTGCTTGATATCACGGGTAGGGTTTTGTTTTCACCTCTTATCTTTCCTACTGGGTTTTTCATTGCTCAACGGCCATATGTTTTGCCGGGGTATTTGACACTTCCTGTTTTCTCATTTTTGTTTTTTCTTTTTTTTCCCATTATTATTGTGTCCTTTTATTATTAACTATGCCTTTCACACCCAACCCCTGCCATTATATTTTCATTTCTTACTATTAGAGTTTCATTTTTTCTCACATCCTTGCTCATCATCTGTTTCACATTTATCTGCCTTTCGATGTCTTTGCACACTGTCTCCACTACCCTAAAATACTTTTTAATACTCCCAACATATATACCTTCTTCTTCTGATTTTTTCTCTTCGTTTTCTGTTATCTGATTTACAAAAGATAGAAAGATAAAAGAAAAAGAAAAAAAAAAAAGAAAAGAAAAAGCTGGTAATGGGATTGTTTGATATACCAACTGTTTTCTACGTTTCCTTTTTAAGATTCCATTCATTTTCTCCTATCTATTTTATATTCACACACAACAGTTTGGACTCAAACATAACCCGCTAACCGACAACGCAAGTCGCGAGTCTCTCATGTTATCTTTTTGCTTCCTATTTCTAACCGTCTCGTTAGACTCCAAACTCTGTCCCCCTTAAATCAAACACATACGGCTCTTGACCAGCCTCCTTTCCCGATCTCCTTTGTTTTTCCTTTTTTTTCCGCTACCACCAATTCTCTTTTTGTCCTTTCTCATCAATTCCGTACATAATACTGTACGTTCATTTTAAGTCAGCCTCTCAAATATTTCCAAACTTCTCATATTTCTACATCTTTTTTGCTTTTATAAAAAACAAAGGCCCATCAGAATTTCATTTTACTGGCTACATTGCCATGTTCAAAAGAAGTCATCTGCTGTAAAAATCTTCTCTCTTTATTAAACCCTTCTCCTCACCTAACCTAACCTGTTAGCTTTTATTCATGTTCTTGTTTCGTTCGAAAATAGAATGGTATGGGATGAAGTATATGTGATGACTTGAGTGTCTTTTTTCACTTTTTCATTCATTTATTCGACCACCAATCTGTCACACGCTGGACAATATTATAGTAGTATACTTTTCACTATAGAATTTTTATACACCAGAAGTTATGTTATTTCATTTCATTTCATTTATTTATTTTTGATATACTGGATTGTTTGATATTTCTTCATTTAAGAATCTTGGAAGATCGTAGTACTAAGAGGTGCTCTTAACATACTGCTAGCAGCAACCTCTATGAAAGGTTTAAATATTTCTTAACATGGCATATTTAAATGTTCACAGACTCGTACGCATGTAATGGTTTGCATTTGTATATCCCTAGGAGAATCTAATACTATAACTGCTTATTTTCTTTTCCCTTCTTCTTGCTCTTCCAACAATATGGAGGAGATATAATAATTACATTCATTTTTCGTTGTGGGTCGCGGGTCAGACAGACGGGCATTAAGTTTCGCATACTAAGCGATTCCTAGGAGCTCTCCCCAAACATTAACTAGAGCTCTTTTTAGGTTTGAAATACTAAAATAAACATGATATACACTGCAGCATCCACATAAGGACCTGTATAACTACCAGGGGATTGCTTGCATGGTTCGACTCGTGGAACATTTTGTTACAGAGCGGCATTTTCACTTCGTCGATTTTAGCACAATATATTGATAATTTTGACAATCCATGAACAAATCCATCATCTCAACTTCAACACCGCAAATCATCGAAACAGTAGCACACGACGAGGTATTGACTGGGGGGAGAAACGTAAATTAGAAGGACTATTTTATACCTTCCGTCCCCTCCAAATTTCGCACTACATCAAATACAACTGGTACAAACCCTCCACCGCCCGGGGGGATAATTTCCCCCTCCGCATATAAAACCAACCAAATCAACAAGCACCCCGTGGAACCATTGCCAGCACCAGCCAGCCAGTCAGTCCGCATAACTCTCGAAAGAAGATATATAACCACACGCGCGCCCATACCATACAATGGCCTCCGGCACTGCCTACTCCTCTTCCGCCTCCCAAATCCCCTCCCTCTCCCCCGCAGAGCTCTCCTACCTTCACACGTCCCTCTCATACCCTAACAATCCTATCCGCACAGATGGCCGTTCCGCGACGCAGTTCCGTCCCTTGACGGCTGAAACGGATATTTTGTCTGGGGCCAATGGGAGTGCGCGGATTGGGTTTGCGGATGGAACACAGGCAATTGTTGGGGTTAAGGCGGAGGTTGAAAGGACGGTTGTTGGGTCGGTGTTGGACGGGGATGGAGATTTAGGGGGTGAGGAAGGAGGAGGGGGTAATGAGGAGGGGACGGAGGAGGGGACGGAGGAGGGGGAGGCGAGGAAAAGGGCTGGGAGGCGAGGTGGGGAGAGTTCGTGGGTTGAGATGTCGATTGAGATTCCTGGGTTGAGGGATGATGATTCGTTGCCTGTGTTTTTGGCGGAGATGATGAGGGAGGCGTTGATGGTTTCTGGATCGGGGACCGAGGGGGGTGGAGATGGAAATGGAGGGATGCCACAGGGGTTGAAGGGGAGGCTGGTTATTAATGGTGGGTGGCATTGGAGGATTTATATTGATGTGAGTCTTGCGTTTCTTTTTATCCCGTTATATAACTGCAGTTTTATGTATCTAGGATGTTTTATGCATACTTATGGGATATATATGCTGACACCACTCCAGATCCTTCTCCTCTCCGCACCCCTCTCCTACCCCCTACCCCTCCTCTCCCTAACAACCCACCTCGCCCTCCTCTCCACAAAGTTACCCCGACTCATCTCAAAAGACGAGGAGGATCCCATGTTCGACGACGACTGGGCGGCTGCAGAGTATCTGTACCCACGCCGGCAACCCCAATCGCAACCCCAACAACAAACACAAACCAAGCCATTTCCAATACCCTCAACGACACTCCACCTCTACCCCTTTCGGCCCCCCGTGACCCTCCTCGTGATCTCCGTCGGCGACAACATAATCTTCGACCCAAGTAGGGAGGAGATTGCGGTCGCGGAAGCTGTGCTTGCCGTCTCCATTGGACGTGATACTAGCACTCCCACCAATAAAGGCAGCAGTGACAACAGCACCAGCTCACTGAAGCTACTCTCAATCCGCACAATCGACCCGCCGTCTCGCCTGACGCATCCAGGCATACCCAATTCGGAAAACGCGGCGACGATTGGGTTTGCGGCTGGAGGTGAGATTGCGGATAAGATGGGTGCAGTGACTGGGGGGGCAGCGGTGGATTCTGGGGAGGATGTTGCAGGGGTTTGGAGGCCGAGGAGGGGCGGCGTTAAGAGGAGTGTTGTGTCGAGGATTGTGAGTATGGTTTTAAAGAAGGGGGGTGTTGGGGAGGAGGTTATGGAAGGGTTGGAGGGGGTGGAGGTTGGGTGACCTGATGGACTGCTTCGCGGGTCGGGTTTAGTGAAGGAGAAGGTGTGATTTTTGTTCCTTTCTAAAGGTTGTGTTTTTAAAATAAAAAAATAAAAAAAAAAAAAAAAAAAAAAAAAGACAAATTGGTTGATTACTCTACTGTTATGGATAAATCGGGGCAAGAGTCAGGATATTTGATTGAAGCTTCCCTGTGTTTTCATATTATAATGGAGTTATCGGACATTCTACTTTGACCCCTTTGTTGAAGGCTGTACGGTTATACCTTTTGGATTTAAGAGCTTTTGATAGGACAATGGACGCAATTAAGGGGATAATTCATGATTGAGCAAAGAGGTTTAAGAATACTGCATTGTCTACTTTTGTCCAACACGTAATTAACCCATATTCATATGCCAAACCACCCATTTACAAGCCAGGCGAATCCATTAAATGAATTGACCCGCCTCTCAATGCCATGATACAAATCCAAAATATAATAAACCATCAGATATCCAATAAAAATAATATACAATTGCCCTCTCTATTGGCTCCTTTATTAACCAAAGCCTAAAGGCATCAAGACAACCTTCCAATCTTCACCTCGTCTGCATCCACCAGATTCACCTATCCTAAACCACTCCCAACCCTCCCACAAACTCCACACGAGCGACGCCATCTACCAAATCCCCAACCACTTCTTAATCGGCCTCCGTCTCCTCTCTTGCACTTCCCCTTCCCCATCCGCAACCACACCCTCCTCACCCTCCACCTTCTCCAACCCATGTGCCCTCCGATACGCCCTCCTCTTCTCCACATCATCCATCTTCTTCTTCCTCCTCTCCATCGTCTCCAACGTCTGATGATCCGCATGCATCTTCATAACCGTCAAGACCTGCGCGATAGTATCGATCGGATGTATGAGGAGCTGCGACCAGGGTGGTAGCAGTTGCGCGAAAGGGGAGGTGCGTTTGAAATTCGTGGTGAATGTGAATGTTGCTAGTGTGACAAGGACCGACTGTACGTACTTTGTTAGCACACGTTGTACTTATATAAAGGGCTAATTTATAGAAAAGTGTATTGTATATATATATATATATATATATATGTATGTATGTATGTATGTATGTATGTATGTATGTATGTATGTATGTATGTATGTATGCATGTATGCGGTAAGGGAGGAGAGGTGTTGGGCCAATTCCTCACCATCGAAATCCAAACGTGAATCCCCTTATTCGTCAAAAATTTATGCATCACCGTCCCCTCCGGCGGAAACATATGCGGATACCGCTTTGTCTTTTTCTCCGCCAGCTCAGCCTCCGTCAACCGGGGACCGGGGTAGTTGAGCGGTTCTCTGGCGGAGCGCGGGTTTGTCACGCGCCGCGCTGCGTGGGAGGGGGGTCTGAAACGGTCGGGCTTTTCGAGAACGCGGGGCCCGCTGGGGGAGGAGGACTTCGTGGTTGTGGATTTTGGGCGGAGGTGGAGATGGGGGTGGAGTGGTGATTGGTTGTGGCGGATATTGCGGGATGTGAAGAGGAGAGTCCGCGTGGATATGTCTCGTGGAAGGAGGAATGGGGGAATTAGAGATTGTGAGGCCATTGGGTGCAGTGGTTATTTTATTTTTATTATTATTATAATTCTCTTGGTTGATACCTCGTAGATGTAGAGATTTGATATCGAGGTTTGTCAGGATATTTTTGCGGTGCATACAGATTTAGGCGCAAGGTCAAAAGCGGCACCGTTCCCTAGGAATCACAAGACGGGTGCTGACTCAACTGGCTAACACGACCTCGATCCTTGGATATTCAGGGGAAACACATACACACACCGATCGAGGTACTGTCAATTCGCTGCGAGAAGAATGAATGCCTTTCCCTCGCCTATTTCAAGAAGAGGATCCGAGCGTAGCGGGTAATTAAACCCAAAGCCCCACTGTTCTATCGGCATGGGCATTGCCGCGCATGTTTTCGCTCTTGACGATGAAGCTGTTTTGAAGTTAGCCCCCGTTATGTGATAATATGTATATGAACAATGGAGGCCTGCAACATATCCAAATTGAGATTTTCATTTTATCAGGGGGACATTGGTTTCTACAATCTGCTTTTGGATGGGAGGGAGAATGTGATGCTCTCTATTTCTTTATTTTTACAACTCTTTTACCCTTTGCTTTCTGGATTGGTGCCTGCAGAAAAAATGGCTTTTATATATCTTCTGGCGGTTTGGTATTCTCTGGACGTCTGCTTTTCCTGCATTTCAAGATGCGTATCAAAGCCAGTGTAACAGGAAGTCATCTTCCAAATGTATCCCTCAGTTGGGAAATGTCAGCCATTATTTTCATGTCCTTGCACCCACTGCTTTTTATTTTCTCGAAAGCATGACCATCGAGAATCGGAGTTTTGGAATATATTTATGAGACGCTTTCTACTGAGCACATACGACCACAGGGAGTGGAAAACAGGGCTTCCCGTCCGCTCAGCCGTACTTAAGCCACTCGCCGGCCGGTTAGTAGTTGGGTGGGTGACCACCAGCGAATCCCGGCTGTCGTATGTTTTTCTAGTTTGCGATCTCTCTGGTTAGTCAATCGATGGCTCCAGACCGAGGGTTCCCTATTGCATGCACTCATCCACAGCTTTTGGAGCGAGGGGCGGGATGCTAACTGGGATGACACACCCTCGATGCACATGTGAGCCATTTGCACTTGGTTCAATGATATACGGAGATACAGACTACGAAGCAGCATTGTGAAAAATTTAGACAATAGTGAGGTGGTCGCAGACCTGCAGAAAGTGCAAATCCCTAACAGAAATGCGCTGTGATAGAAGACTCTCTCTGTGTTGAAATTAAATGCAAATCTAATAATCCCTCGCTGTGATTAGGAATATTTAATCTGACATTCGTCATCCTTTCTTCTTCATACCCGCCATTGCTGGAGTAAGTGCTACATTAACTCGGGCATGAAGTGTAGATCCGGGGGTATTTCTAGATAGCATTTACTTAATCTAGATCCGAGAAAATTACCTTCTCTTGCAGCTTAGTATTTTCAAGCTCTGCACCTTTAATCTGCCGCTACGACAGTCACCATGGTTTGATGAGAATCAAAGTAATAATCTCTGTATATACTCTATCCACTTTTTAAATATATCAATCTGTAGTTATTTCAATGTTATTATACTTATTGATTTTCAATGTGAATCTTAGGTTTTATATCTGCAAGTTATGCTAAAACTGTTTGAATGGAGTTATTAAGTGTGTCAGGCCTATCCGCCTTCTTACGTAATCCGCACTGTATATAACTTTCGCGTAGCTAGTGATCACCTCATAATCAATCAAGCAATCTATCCTTGACAGGTTATGAGACCCATTTTGCGCAAATAACTGCCAATTTGGGGAATTCTTGCCAAATATGGTGTATATTAATCACTGCTCACTTCATTCAATATAATATTGTCTTATTTTATGTCAATTGATTGATTTGATGCACTATTATATTATTATTATTTTTTCTGTGTTCAATCTGTTCACTTAATGAGTGAAAGAAAAATCTACAACTTGCTAATTTTTCAGTGACTGATCACACAAGAACATGTCAATCTGCTCAATCAAGCTTATAGGTAAGAATCTCACTGAATAAGATTACTCCATTAGAAAGAAGATTAATATGACATGATGGAATGTATGATGACTCACTCACAGTCATGATCAAGTCAATTCAGTCAATCTGACTAATCTGAAAATGATCAGAGGGCTCTGAGCTCACTGACCCCCTCAGAGGCATTCAGAAGTTCCAACATTAGACCCTCCAGAACACTCAATCAGCAAGCCAGGCTGATTACAGCCTTTATCATGATGAGGCCAGTCCACCTACATTGTGTCAAATATGCTGACCTGACTCCTTCAGAAGATGAGGTGAAGATGTCTGCAGTGACTCCTAACCCATCACCAACAATCAACTCTGAAGAATTGCAACTGAGGAGATTGAATCTTGAACATCAAAAGATTGATTTAGAACTTCAAAAAGAGAAGCACAAAGAATTGCAGCTTCAACTTCAATTAAAGAGGCTCTGCACTCAGAATGACAGGGCTGCAATGCTCACAAATTCATCAGTGAGTCAAATGTCAGCATGAGATTCAAACTTGAGATTCTGAATGCAATATAATCTCTATGACCTGGATAGCTGCGTTAGCAAGACAATCAGCCAGTTCAAACAGGATACTAAATATGCCATCAAGCTGAATGCTCTGGTCAGATCTTTGAATTACCTCTCCTGGCATGTGAATATGAAGGCCAAGCTAATTGATGCTCAATGCTGAGTTATATTGGAGGACAAGCAAGTCAAAAGCCCTGATGAGAACTCTGAATAGGCTTCTTTTTGAGAGGCTAAAAATTGCTGGCTTTACACATTCATTTCAAATGCATTGGCAGCCAGCATTAGGCCCTGTTTTAATAAGTATGATGAGAGCAGAATCACTTATTCTTTTTGATATGCAGTTGAGAAGGAGTTCTTCATTCCAAGAATGTAGCTCTGCAGGGAAGCAGTCCTAGCATTTACATCAATGAGTGATGTCTAAGTCACTGACATATACATGTTTTTTGATAAGTTTAATGACATTACTATGAAATTGGAAATACTTGATATCTTACTGTCAAATGATGTGATATTTCATGTGTTCTATTCTGCACTTCTCAATATATGATGAAACTATGTGCAAAAGAAAATTGAGAAGGTACAAGAGTTCAAATCAAAGTTTGTTGTGTTGGATGTTCATTCAACCATGGAGGAAATACACTCTTGATTGAATCCTCTCAAAGAGATCAAGAAGCCTGCTCAGGCAGCTAATTCTTCAGTCAATGTGACTCAGGCTGAAATGCGGCTGCAGGTTCCAATAATAGCAACAACATCCAAAATAATTCAGCCTGTGAGGGCCAACCCAGGGGACATGGAGGCTATTGAATGAATGGACATTCAAAGTCTGACCTCCCAATCTGCTCAGAATGTGAGCATCATCATGATGAGCTCTGCTGAGCAGTCAATTCAGATAGTGCTTCTGAAGAATGAAGAATCACCAACACAGTGAGAATAGAGAAATATAACAATAAGAAGAGTAGTGAGGGCAAGAAGGCCTCATCAACTGCAAATGACAGCTCTGGGATGTTCCAAATGGCAAATCTAGTGCAGGTCATTGAGGTGCCTGTGTACTCTGCTGAATCAATCACCAACCCACTCACCATATGAGATAGTGAGGCTGGATGTCATATTGCATGTGATCAATCATGATTTTCTCAAATAACAGAGATTAGTGATTCTATGATTCAAGTGGTCAATAAGGCTATCTTGAAGGTTCAAGGAATCAGGGTCGCCTCCATCTCAGTCAGGGAAAGATTAATTGAATTTGATCACATTTATTTGATGCCAGACTTATCTGCCAACCTCATATCTGCTGGCCTATTGGAGTGCCAGAGCTATATTCACTGTGATCTGCAGGTGGATGCTGAAAATTACTTTGAGATAATAGCATCTACAGGAAATGACATCTTCTATGTGATTTTGAATTTCAATAATATATATGTCCTATCTGACACTCTTTCTATGTTCAGAGATATTATGAATGATCTGAAGCTTGAATCACTGGCATACTTGATGATTCTGAAGCCCAGGGCAATTTCAACAGATTATGATCTGAACACTGCATCACTGGGTCTTTTCAATCACAATGATGTGGAGCAGCTGATTAACCTGAAGAATTCAGATATTGATACCTTCATTTTGTCCTCACCAACCTGCTTACCTGCCATTATGCTGAAGCAGCTATCAATTGATGAGTGACATCAGTGATTGAACTATATTGGTGAGAAGAATCTAATTAAAATGTCATGAGAGCTCTGTTTTGGAATTGCCATCATCAGCTCAAAGAAACTCTCATTCTGCACCACATGTGTTAAAGTCAAGCATAAATGTGCAAGTTATAAAAATGCTCTTCTACACCATGCCACCTGCAAAGGTCTTAAGATCTGGGTGGACCTATTCAGAGATGGAGAAACACTTGGTAATGAAGAAGATACACCATCCTATATGAGTAAGAAGCTTGTAATGGTGATCATTGACAATACCACATGAATGTGATGAATCTTCCTATTGAAGTGCTGCAATGAGACTCTAAAATATATATAGATCTTCAATTAATTTATGAAGAATCTGCTCAATTGTGGTGTCACAATTATTCACTCTGACTATAGTGAGTTGAATTCAAACACAGCAGTCATCTATATGATAAATGAGGGTATTAAATGAGAATCAACCCTGCTTCATACTTCACAGCAAGATGGTGTGTCTGAACATTCTATTGATCTGATTATTGAAAAAGCCTGAATGTTATTAATAGATTCATCTGCTTCCTCCCAGATGTGAGATGAGGTGATAATTGCAGTGACTGAAATGCTTAATCTTATGTCAACATCAGTCAAGCTCTATAATGATGTAGAGGATCTGGATCTGAAGTCAATTACCTCATATGAAGCTTGGCTCAGAGCCCTGCCCTTCATACACAGAATTCACTGATAGGGGTGCAAGGCTTATTTAAAAATAGTGCTCAAGCTGAATATGAAAATGGCCTCATGATCACAGGAGCTTATATTTACAGGCTATGATGGTTTTACTAATTATAGATTGGTCAATCCTTCTAACAGTCATCTTTACACATCAAAAGATGTGATATTTCAAGAAGATCTCTATTTGGTGAATTCTTTGACCTCATCTGAGCAAGGTGCCAAGAATCTGCCTTCTGCTGTCTATGTGGCTGCAGTTGCAATCCTCTCCACTCAACATGATTTATCAACAGATGATTTCATGATGAATGAGAAGTCTCTACCTGTCCTCTCAGTATTTCTACACTCTACAAATAATTGATGGATAGACTATGAGATTACTGTGCAGATTTCAACATTTTTGATGCAGAACACTACTATCCTCTCAGGGTCCACTTTAGAGATGAAGAATCCTCCAATGCTCACTGAGAATATTACTTCAGTGGGAGAGATCTCAGTGAGAAATTTCACTGACAATTCAACTGACATCTCTGCAAACTCTGAGATCACTGACTTGTCAGTTTCAAAGAATCTCACCTGAGCTCAAGTGTCTGCAGATTGAAAATATTACTTTCATGTCTGTGTTAAGAAGATTAATCATCTCAAGCAGATTGGTGCATGGTGGCTAGTTGAAAGGACCTCAGATATGATGATTCTACATGGTCAATGAGTGTTTGACAAAAAGATTAATAATGCAGGTAGAATTGATTGATATAAGGTCTGCTGAGTAGTCTGCAGCAATTATCAAGAAAAGAGTATCAACTATTCAAAGACATTCACATCAGTTGTATCAGCTTCCACCTCCTGAGCACTTATGACAATCTTGATATTTCAAGGATGGCATGTTCTGCAGATTGACATGATTACAGCATTCTTAAATGCCCAGCTTCCCACCAATGAACATATATATATACATTAACCTGCCAGGTTCCGCGAGGAATGCAGCAATCTGGTATGCAAATTGATGCAGAGACTATATGATCTGAAGCAAGCAGCACTATTATGATATGAGAAGCTGTGAAAAATGCTATTGGAAACAGACTTCCACATCAGTTCTCATGATGCTGGTTTTTTCATAAATGACATCTGCAAGGTCTATATAATCACCTACATAGACAATATTCATCTATATGATTCAAATATATTGAATATTGAGTGGACAAAAGCCCAGATCATCACTAATTATGAGATCAAGAATGTGAGTAATTCAAACTGGTATTTGAGTATGAAGATTGATTGAGATGCTGAATCATTATTGCTGTCCCAGCCACTGTTCATAAAGAACCTGTTTGAGAAATTCTCAATGAATGACTGCCACTCAACATCTTCCTCTATGGAGGAGAATTTTGATTTCATGAGTGATAATGAAGAATTAGTTGCTTATACAGCAGAATTTACATTACATTTCTATCAATCAGAGGTTGACTCTTTGCAATATCTCACTGCCAACACACACTCTGATATAAGCTTTGCTGCTGACTTTCTAGAGAGATTCAACTCTCATTCTACCTCAAAGAATTGAGCAGCATTCAAGTGAATTCTTAGATATCTACAAGGTACACCCAACATAGGTGTGTCCTACTGAAAAGATGTGGATATAGAACCTGTGGCATTCACTGATGCTGATTGAGCAGGCCATGATCCAGGTTCCCACTCCATCACTGGATATGTCATTTATATGGCAGGAGGTCCTGTTGCTTGATGAAGCAGCAAGCAGACAGGCATTTTGAAATCATCTACTGAGGCTGAATATATCACATCCTCAGAGACTGCCTATGAGCTTGTCTGCCTTCAGGAATTGCTGGAGGATGCCAGCTTTGTACTGTCTCAGCTCAATAATCTTGATGATAATGATGACTCAATTGAATCACCAGTCAATAAGCTGATGTATATGATTTGAGCAGATAATAAATCAGTGATTGAACTGGTCAAAAGTGAGACTATTCCACACTGTTCTAAGCATATAGAGATTCACTTCCATACTCTTCAGGATCTTGTCTGCAAGAACAAGATCTCAATTGATTATGTACTGTCCACTGAGAATGCAGCAGACAGGCTGACCAAGTCACTTGAGATGACTAGATATGCCCTATGGCAGCAGATATTAGAAGACACAGTAAGCAGGTGGAAATGATTATATGAAGAAAATGACTGGTTTTTCAACAATATGGGTTTTCCAGTCAAATTATGCACTGATACCTAGCTACAGGCTATTTTTTGTATGTAATCTCGCGTACAGTTACATCAGTGAGTGGGGGTGTCAGGCCTATCCGCCTTCTTACGTAATCCGCACTGTATATAACTTCCGCGTAGCTAGCGATCGCCTCATAATCAATCAAGCAATCTATCCTTGACAAAGTGAAATTATCTTTCTTATAGCTTAATTAACAGCTTAATTAATGCTATTGATATATTAAAATATGATATATATCATAAATTTTATTCATAATGAGATTTTCACTACTTCAAAAACTGCCCTGCATATTGACGTAAAAACACTAACTGAGCCTTTGGGGAAAAAGAGACTGATTATCATAGTGTGGATGTGTGAAGTGTAATTTTTTCCTCACCATAGCCAAATGAACATGACTGAAAAATTCACACTATATATTCATTCAAGTATTCCATTGAGGGGGCTGCATGTTACCAGTAAGCTGATATTCACTCTATTCATCAATATATGATTGGTGATATATCAGGGCTGTAGTGAGCGCAGCAAGCACCCCTCGAGCATTAACTAATAATACTTTTAAAAATCATGCCAGGTAGATGTGTAACAGGTAAAAAGTTAAATAGTGGGCCACTGAGCTTGAGCCCACCTGCATTTATTTGTCTTGCCTGTTGCAGTAGCTGTTGCTGTGATTACCGCTTTGGAGATAGCGCGCCGAAGTTACCTTGGGCGCTTTTTGCACCCCAACAACAACAACCGCCACTCAATCTGTTTATTGCCGTTGCGAAGATGAAAAAGCCTGGGGCATTGTTCAAGGGAACAATGCCCACATTTTCTGCTTCTCTTCCTCTCTCATCTCCTGTCTCTCGCGCGCTCAGGTGCACTGGCCCACTCCCCCTTCTGCGGGATGGGGCCATGTTATCGGGTCTCTACACCCTATCGTGATCGTCCATGTAGCCAGTCTGCGACCCTCCAAACACCATCTCCCTGCAGGATCATCACCTGCTGAAGTTTGTGTGCTATTGGCACGAACACTCAGCCATGTATGTTATTGGCATCCCACTATTGAGCATGAGAGATATTGGTACCGCCACCTGATCTGCCTTCCTTGAAGAACCCTGAGCATGAAGCTCTGTCTCCACACAAGCCTCAATTTGCCTCAAATTTCCACTTGCAACACCCAAGATCTCACTGCTCTTCCAGCTGCGATGGCTCTTCCGGAGAGTGTGTTTGACTACAGGACTGATCCATCATTGCCCAGCACAACTAGGTAAGATGACTGCTTAGAAGTATTTCTCACGCTCCCTGTTCTCCAGTATAACACTTTTATGGATCCAGCAGTTCTTGCTGATGAAGATCCTTTTGGGAGGCCAGCGATCTTAACCATCCTGTCCAGGAAGGCGACAGCCTTACAGTCTCTAAGCCAATCCATCCATATTCTAAACCTTCTCTCTCTACGCTCTGTAACGCACCCAAGTTTCACCAAGTTTCCGGACAGAGGTTTAGCAGCTGGAATGGTAATTAATGCACAAACAGACAATGACCCTCACATCCAGTATTGCCAACAACTGCACCCCTCCCATTACAGCAGCAAGATCAGCACATCTTGCCGCAGTGGTGTGGATGAAGACGCCAACAGCAAACAGCCCAAGAGCCTCAAGCAAGAGGTGCAGCAATCAGAGAAACAGGCAGTGAAGTGGCTACGGGTTTGCCCTCGGCCTTGCCCGATGGGAAAGGTTTATTTGCTACTCTTTTGTTCTCATTTGCTCTCTCTACAGCTCAATAAATGCCTGCAGTTCCTTTCTTAGCTGATTATAGGTGCTTTGTCAAGCTGCCCACCTAACTCCAATGAGAGTGGACAGTCAGCCTTTCGCTCGGATTCTCGAGAGAAGATCGAGCAAACTTGGCGTGAGCGCAGTGAGATGAAAGGGTCATGGAGACAAGCCGTGGCGATGGCCTCCGAGTTTTGCCCTGGGCCTCTTTTGTCTCGTGTGGAATTTTCAGGTAATTAATAAACGCGTACGGAGTAAATGTCCCCACCGTTGGGTTTGATTACGTACCCCCGGGTTCTTCACCACGGCACCACTTTCGACAACACTTTTAAGTTCTAATTAGGAAGAGTATTTAGTATTTACGCCACTCCGACAAGCCGGCCAAGCCCGGAAACCTTGGGTCTTGTCCGGCCAGCTGCACCTGGCTACAGGTACAACTATTAGTTGTCCACGGAGGAAGCAATGCAGCAGGGGTGCTTGCTGGGGAGACCGATCATTCTATTCATCCTGACTTACCCCTCTTTTTACAACAAGAGCTGATGTGTACATAACACGTCTCCTCCCATAATCCAAACCATTCTTTCTCTACTCTTGACGATTCAGTCGTGAGCGCCTTCATCCAGTTACTAGTACTTCACTCATCATCATCAACTTAACATGCCGGCCAATTTGTCAATCCTCACTCTTCTGTGCTTCCGACAATCATCCTTGTTTCCTCAAGAGACTGCACATTGGGCACTGCAAGTGTAAAGTTTCAAGAAATGTTGAATGATTCTAACATTTATGTAGCCTTCTCTGGAACCCAAATGCTCCATCTGGCTCGCTTTTCCATGTCTCTAAGGAGTCACTGGCAAGCGGACAGACAGTATGCACCCGTCTCTTGTTCTCAAACACCACCAGACTGACAAATGCCGTTAATGATCTTAATCCCAGAATTATAGGCTGGTGAGAAACGTAAACCCGATGGCCTCCTCGTCGCTTCGGGCCTTAGTTGAAGTCGCCTCAGGGGTTCGGCTCACCGATCAAATGCTCGACGCGCATTGCATATCGGCTGCGCACGACCGCTCCTTTGACCTTGTCTACAACAACAGTCAGAGATTCTGCAGTCAGGTTCTGCAGCGTCTCGTTTACAACAGGGTAATCACTCAGAGCCAATTCGATGAGTTAGCTATGAAGGGATTTCAGCCGCTCGTCTAAGAGCAGGGGTGGAGTCAAGGACTTGCGTAACGCGCGCACTCGAGTTGATGGCGTGAACCAGATAGAAAGTGTTGAAGAACCCTGGTACGGTGGCACTGCGCCAATGCAGCCTTAAGAATGATCTGAGTGACATTGGGGATAAACCTGTCTCTTGTGTCAGAGATTCGTTTTCTTTCAGATGGAGAGGCAGTCCACTCACTTAGCAGAATAACTATAATTGTCAAGGCCTCAATGTCCACTGAGAGAGAAGCTGAATATTTTGTATTACCGCCCTGTTGAGCTACACTACATACTTTGTTGCTCTCATTTAAAGCACTCTGTTAATGTAGTCCTGTTATGCATGTAATGTCATCTCAAAAAACATCTCATGTACAAATTGAGAACTTGAGCAAAAGAACAGATGGAACTCATTAAGAAAAGCTTGTCAGCTCATTTGACACGAGCCTCGCCCTCGAGCGTTTGATACGGACAACAAAGACAGTACTCTTGCGTTGCGTTCGTAGAGTGATCTCCGTCCTCTCTTTCGCCAATTGCATCAAGCGCCGCAGGCCGAAGAACATCTTGCACCAGCGGAGTCACCATCTCAACACCGCCGTCCGGCTGCGGCTCACCCTCAGGGAATCATTCCGCGGCTTGCGGATTTCGTGTCTCAACGTCGTCGAGGAAGCAGTTGGCGGTCCCACCATCCCCAAAACGTGAAGAGCGTGGACTGCACCAGTCTGCTCGCGGGTGTGTAGGTCTGTAGGTCTGTGCGGTAGCTCCGCCGTTATGGAAGATGTGAAGATGGGCTTGTGAGGCTGTAGCGTTCGATGGTGCCGTCCTCTGAGAGGTGGGGATTCTCATATTAAAAGGTGCCACTAAACTTGCCAAGAACAAGGAGCACACGAAGGAGGGTTAGGAGGGCTGAATGTGTTTAGGAGATGGGCCAGCATGATATAAAGGTGTTTGATTCTTGAGTTGCTGGTAACTACATAGGTCATGAGAGGGAAGTTGGCACACGGATAAATAATGTTCAAGTGGCTTGTCTATTTGCATTAATAGAGGGTGAGCATTCTTTTTGCACATAGGCCAGGGGATAAAAGAGCTTGAAGTTGGAATCAGATTGTTGGGTTTTGCTTTTAACTAACAACTAACTGGTTTAGTTAACTAGCCAAATAACCTACCTAATTCTTATGAACATTGTTTTTGAATAGTTATCAGGTTTTTTTATCGTCTGCTGCAGCTCTATAGTTGCCCTCTGCTAACTTGTTAGAATTGTATTTTAGTTTATTTATTCTCTCTTTTCTTTCACTTATTTTCTCACGCTCATTTTGCCTCTTTTATGAATTAAATTAATTCTGGTTATATCTAGTTTCTACTTGTTAAATCTCAGTCAAGTAGCTTTCTTGGAAGATATAAAATATTATTTGGGTTAGGATTCCAGCCTTTTTCTTATCAAAATATCATAGATAAACTTGACACTCAAAGTTTTCTGTCACCCTTGTGCTTTTTCAGTAACTGCTTAGCAGCGAGCTGAGCCTTGGAGTGAATTTGGCACTATCTTGGGTAGATCCTCTCGGGTGAGTAGTTTTGCTTTTGATATTGCATGCATTATCACTGTCCGCTCTGCCTTTGTGAGTTTGTAAGGACTTTAAGAGAAAACTTGGCTATCTGAGGAGATGTCTACCAGGAGATTTGCAGTCCTCATACCTGTCATGTGTGCCAGACTACTCATATAATAATCACCCATTAACTCTCAACATCGCTCATATTCTGGCCTCACCACGTACCAGAGCTCATCATAAAACTACCAGATGAGAGCTCTCAGGAGGGAGAGTCTGGCCACTCTCCCGAGCCTCCCTCTGCCAACAGGACCGACCATCCTAAACATTGCATGTCAGTTTTTCATTCATTCTCCCTCCATCATCTTGAAGCTCAGCACTGATGAAGGCGAAGGCATCATGACCGTACTCACCCGTACGATTCTAGGCCCCTGTGTTCCCGTGTGTTTGAGTCGTCGCGATTCCGGGAATGGCTTCCGACATTCTGACATCCAACCGTCCCCAACAAGGACTTGTACTTACACATCAGCCGGGCATCGCCGTTAGTTGAGCTCTGGCCTGCACTCACCTCTTCACAGCGTAAAACTGTCAAGAGAGAGCTCAGTAGTCTTCTCATACGCATGCGTGCGCATCCCTTTTTCTACTACGGTCGTCCCTCTCAGCAGCCGCATCTTCTTTTCTCAATATATGGCTCAGAGATGCACGGAATACTGCGACTCTCGCTCACAGTGGGATGACTCACGCGCGCTCACGCACTACACACCGCTGCTTTAGACACGAAACATGCAGTCGCTCTTGAAGAAGTGCAGCGCAGCACGAGTGGCACAGATGACTGGGATCGTCCTGTTCCCACGCATTTGGGTTTGTCCGACCGGAACTGCTATTTATTGATATAAAAGATGCTTTTGATCATGCCTCAAAAAATAAAATGATCTCAATTCTGCAAGGTTTGAAGTTATCAAAGTCTTTGATAATATAAATCATCCGTTTTATAACAAAAAGAAGCATATAGCTTTTACTTAATATACTAAAACAGAAAAAAACTAATGTTGAAATAAAAATTTATCAAAAATCTTTATGTTATGCCAAGACTCTCTATACTAGCTCCTTGCCCTTACACTGCTTATCTCACACTGCTTACCACACTGTTAAATAAAGCACTTACTTCATGAAGAATCAGATCACTGCATTACTAATTCTTCATTTCATGAAAGATTAGAGATAAAATCTATTGCTACTAATTCATATATATAAACATTCTGAATTCTTAAAGTTTCTTCAAGAAATTCAGTGATTAGCTACTATTCAATTCTACACATACATTTCATTCATCAGTATTCTTCTCTCTCTGTAGTGCTTACTGCATCTATACATCTACTCTTCTACAATTTTAGTTATAGAGCTTCTTATGCTTTTTTTTGACACTCAGTTCATTAATTCTAAATGTTCTCACACTTTAATTTCATTTATTTTATATGCTATATATATATTCAATCTACTCAAAAATAAGAATATATATATAGTACAATCTTCTAGATATGTTGATAATATAAATCTTATTATAAGCTTTAAAATCTACTCAAAAAATACTATAAAAATATAGAAAGAGCTGCATAAAAAATCTTTGAAAAAGAAAATAAAATTTAATTCAATTTAATATAAATAAAATTGAATCAATTCACTTTTCTTAAAAAATATAAAGAAGACAGAATCATTACTTTTTAAAATAAAGTTATGAAATTTAAAAACTCAATGAGATGTCTGAAAATTTGATTGGATTCAAATTTTAAATTTAAAGTTCACATTCAAAAAAGATTAGCTCAGACTGAAAGAACTTTAACAAAAAATTTATATGTTTATTTTTCAAAACTTCAAAATAAAGCTTTAAAAATAATGCTAAATGTATTAAAAATATCTTATATTAGATTAGAGTAATAAAAATATAGATCTCAATTTCATCATCAGATATTCAGATTATTTATTTTAAATAAAAATATTTATTTTATACTCATTAAATATATTTGATAAAAATCTCAATTCTGTTAAAATTTAAATTAAAATGAATACTCTGAAAATTCTAAAATGATTTTTTTTCTCAGCTTTTAAAATATATGTAATAATTAAAATTAATTATTAAGCTTAAATGTAAAAAATATAAATCACATTGAGTTTTATTTTTGAAAAAAAAAAAATTAAAATTATTAATAAATATTTCTATCAAAAATTTTTTTTTAAAAAAGATAAAGAATGTATATATTCAAAAACTGTAAAAAGATTAACAATGAAAATTCTTTAATAATATATTTAAATGAATCAAAAAGCTAAAAGATTATCTGACAGCTGATCAACTTTGATATACTTTAAAATATTCTCAGAATATAAGTTATAATCTTGAAATTCTAGAAAAGAATACAAGATCTATAATTCTGAGTAATTTGCAATTCAAAAAACATTTATACTTATTAATAGACTTGTTTTTGAAGAATCTACTATCAGAAATATATGAATCTTTTTATACTGTTAAGCAGAAGGTGAAAGACTTAAAATTATAAAATTCAAATTGATTAATTCAACTTAACAAATAGTGAAAAAAAAAATTAAATTAAAAGATAAATATATTTAAATTTACTTATTTTGAGTATCAGTTCATATAGACATTTAGAAAATGAAAAAGCAGACTTAGCAGCACAAAGTAATACTGAAACTTAAATAATATAAAAAATTATCTTCTGATCTTATATTAATAAATAGATTTAGAAAATCATTTTAAAGGGCTAAGCTCCAACTCTTCTTATACTCAGGCTTCACCTTCGTACTATCGAGGCGGCGCTATCGAGGCGGCTCCTCTACTCTATTCATATAACCTCTTATTACGGAAGCTCCGCCCTCATGCTTCATATTACTGAGGCAGCGCCTTCATCATCCTCATATAAGTCTCTAACTACCAAAGCTCCGCTCTCGGCGCCTCTACCACCGAGGCGGTGCCTCAATTATCCTCGTATAAGCCCCTTACTACTGAAGCTCCGCCCTTTATTAACAAAGCCTTATCTCTACATGATCTGTCTTTTTTTCCTTCTCTGACGATTTTTTCTTGTTTTCATACGCGTTAGTTATCAACTGTTCTCAGCAACTAGTTTGTTACAATCATGTCTCAATAAATAAACTGAGCTTTGAAAAATAGAAAAAAAATTGTTCAATATATAAAATATAAAATAAAATCAAAATAGAAATTTTTTTTAATAAAGTATAAAATACTTTCTCTTTTATAATACAATTAAAATTTGAATATGATTATTTTAAATTTTATTTAAAAAAATTTAAGATTTTATTTATATAAATATAATTTTTATAATTTAGTTAAAAATCTAAATTATATTTTAATGAACTGTTTACTGCATATTGATATTAGAAAGAAATTAAAAAAAAAATACTTTATCAGTCAGTTAAATATACTCTTTTTCTTTAAAACTGAACTGAGAATAAATTTTTGATTTACTATATAGAGAAAAAAACTGCCTCTAAAAAATAAATTTTAAAATCAGATAAAATTCTTATACATAATTAATAAACATTAAAGCTTAAATATCAACTTATTCTAGATATTTTTTTTATTACTATTATTCTTTCTATCATCAGTTTATTATTATATATAATTTTTCTTTGATATTATTGTTCTCTCTATTTGAAGTTTATTGTTAAATATCAAAATTATTGAAATTCTCTTTTTTAAGATTTTAACACAGTTATTTTTTCTTTTATACTATTTTTCTTTACTAGTTAATATATATTTTTATAAATTTTTATCAAAATAAGTATATATAACTGTAGTTTTTATGATATATCTATTTAAATACTGTATTATTTTGAGATAAAACTATACAATTACATGTTCTAAATTATATATATCAGTTTTTCAAGAGAATCAAATCTGAATATAATTAGATAGATATTTTATATAATATGTAATGAATTTTTGAACTTATTTTTCTCCCACAGTAGACTCAACTAAAGTAGAAAGTAGTATATTCACATATTTCATACTTTTTCAATTCAAGAGGGCTGGCCTCTCTCATTCATGAAGAGTATTCATTGAACTAGAGATTCTTCTTCTGTCAAAGTCAGTTTTTGACAATTTGATTGCACATTCATATGAGAAGCTCGACTAGCTAATCTATAAACTAGAGTAGAATAAGAACCATTAAATGATTTAGTAATAGTATATTTGAATGAAATTTGTTTAATTTTATAAATATTAAAAATTAGTAAGAGTTTTCTTCTTGATTAGAAACTTAATTTTTTGAT